GTTGCGTTCCTCTAATGCCTTCAGTTCTCTATCCATGGCTTCACGCCATTTCTCCCTGTGTTCCCCCCCCAGAGCCTGCTGAACCGTTGCAGGCTCCTTAGGAAGCGAGCTGCGTGTGTTCCCGTGGACTGCGGTGACGAGGCCGAGGATTTGCAGCCCAGTCTGTGAGTATCGAGGGAGTTCTGGATCCTCGGGATAAGCTGCTTCGTCTCCCGTTTCTGGGTCGGGCATGAAATTTGGCCCTACCCTTTCTGCTTCGTTGGTGTTGACTGTCACAGGTGTTACGTAACCATCGTCGGCGAAACGGTAGAAGATTTCGGCGTTGTTACTGTCGCGAGGATTATCCTCATCCATGGGCACGTCGACGGAGCAGTATGGGAGAGGTCCGGCTTCTTCTGAGGCGTTGTCGACGTTCTGTTCATCCCAGTCTGCTTCGTCCGCTGCTGACGCGAAGGCTCGGTCACCACGAAAACCACTGGTGAGGTCCCGATTCTCGTGCAAGTTGGCGAGGTACGTCTGAAGGGTGAGTCTTTCGTAGAAGATCACGTCACGTGCTGCTACTGTTTCCTTTGTGTGGACGTCGAAGATTTTCCATGCGTTGTAATTTTTCTCGATGCCGAGGTGTAGTCCCCACTGTGCCCGTTGCGAAAATCTTCCCGCTCGTGCTTCTGGGGGTCTGTACTGTACCATGCACCCGAAAACTCGTAACATTTTCGTGCTGCCCTGCTTCCCTGTCCACAGCAGATGCGGTGATGCGTTGTTCGGGAGTGACGACGACGACAACAAGTTGTGTAGCATGACAGCGTGGTCCATTGCTGCTGGCCACTGGTGGTTGGGTAGCCGCATGCCACGTAATAGTTTGCGCATGCTGTTCTGCAGGGTCCTGTTCAGTCGTTCTGCAACACCTTGCTGCTGATGTGCGTAAGGAAGGGAGAGGAGTTGCTTGATCCCCCTTTCCGCCAAGAACTGCTTGAAGCGGTGAGAGGTGTACTCGCCACCTCCGTCTGACTGGAATTTTTTCAGTTGTGTTCCAGACTCTCTCTCTGCTATCGGTAGCCAGGCGGCGAATGCTGCGAGCGCCATGTCGCGGCTGGGTAGGTTGCGATGCCAGACGTATCGAGTGGCGGCGTCGATGAAGGTGATGGTGTAGTTGTAGTTGACTTGTCCTGGCTCGCGATTGTAGAGGATGTCGCTGTAGACTTTTTCGAGTGGTGCGTACGCTGGAGCGCTCGGGTTGTGATGTGAAGCAAACGGTCGATGAGGTAAGTCAGCTTCGGGACATATAAGGCAAGTCCCTCGTGCCTTCTGGAGTTCTCTGCCATCGGGTAGAAGTAGAGAATCTTTGTCAAGGACTCCTGCTCTTATCGTGTTGTTCAAAACCGTGTTGCTTGGATGTCCTGTTCGTGCGTGCCAGATCTCTTCAGAGGCACGGTGTCCAGGTGAACGCTGATATGCGTCGGAGTTGGAGTAAAAACTGGCGACGAGGTTGGCGCTTCGGTGGACTTCACGTTGAGTCGGATTCAGCTGTTTCGCGGGTGTTGGTGGTGCTTCGTCGACTGTGACTGGTGTCGTTGTTCCTGCTGCTGCTGATGTTGTTGCTGCTGCCGATGTTGTTACTGCTGCTGATGTTGTTGCTGCTGCCGATGTTGTTACTGCTGCCGATGTTGTTACTGCTGCTGATGTTGTTGCTGCTGCCGATGTTGTTACTGCTGCCGATTGTCGAATTGTTGCTAATGCTCGTGTTCGTTCTGCTTCAGGAATGGTGTGCGAGTACCAGAAGCCTCCTGGGCTGAAGTCGGGGTCGAGATCCGGAGGGTGTGTCCAGTCAGTGAAATTCACGATGGCGTCGCTGTCTGCAGTGCCCAGGTCAGGATCGAAGTCGAGGACGAAGACGTTGTTCTTCAGCACTGCTTTCCCGATGTAGAGACCGCCTCTCCCGTGGTAAAGTTTGAACTCCTGGGTCGTGCTGTCGGCTTCCAGATGAATTCCTTTCGCCATCAACTGGCTAACGCTCAGTAAGTTGTAGCCGAGTCCTTCAGCGATGAGTACCTTAGACATGTGCAGTATGACATTTGTTTCTCTTGACTGAAGCTGTACCACTCCTTGTCTTCGTGTGCGCAGGTTTTGGTTGTTGGCAACCGTGATGATCACTTCCCGTTGGAGTCGATGTTCGCGTTGTACGAAACGCCCGGACGAGCACATGTGTTGCCCGCAGCAACTGTCCAAGAACCAGGTGTCTTGGCCGGACGGTTCACTTTGAGCGATGGCGGCGTACGTTGGATTCGGCTGGAGTAGCTCACGGCGAGGCGTTCTGTTGTCAAGCTCTTCTTCCGGTGAGTAGTGTGGTGGTGATTCGGTTGTACATGAATCGGTTATCTTCGTCATGCAGTTGATTATATTTCTTGCTCCTTGTGCAGGTTGTCCGGGTGAAGTCGTTGAAGCTTGAATAGTGGTCGTCGCACTTGCTTGTGTTGAAGCCATTTGGGAGCTTGAAGGTCGAAGTTGTCGCTGTGGTGCCGTTGATTGCTGACGATTCGGGCAGTGTGTGCGCGGGTGCCCTGAAGTCTTGCAGATGTGGCAGAAGGGAGGTACTATCTTCGGTTGCTGCTGTCGGTTGTTATAATTGCTGTGTCGTCGTTGAGTGTGGAATGCGAACTCTGATACTGTCGTTTTCTTCCTGTGTCGTTCTTCCTGCAGGTCCATATCTTGCTGCTCGGCATGTATTTCGGCGCAGAGTGCAGCTTCAGAGATTCTTCCGTGGGCTCGAAGAATGGCTTTGGTGGCGCGCCACTGAGGACCAAGCCCACCAATGATGACTGTCACGAAGGCGTCTTCAGAGATTGACCCTCCGCATCGAAGCAGCTTGTCGCGCAGTTCGCGACATCGGCTGATATACGCCAGTCCTTTTTCTCCTGGTTTCATTTCGACTGTCGTCAACTGCGCCATTAACCTGCTCTGGTTTACACTGTCTGTTGCTTGATACAGGTTCTTCAGATGGCTGTACGCGAGCTCCGCCGAGTTGCCGAAGGTCCGGTAAGAGCGAATGTTCTGCTGCTGAGTTGGTGTCACATTCCTCAATAGGATTGTATACGCCATCATTGATTGATACGTATACTGCTGCTTTTCATATTGTGTCCCGTTGGCTGGATACTGCAGGGACCCGTCGAAGAAGCCGAGTATCTGCGCGCCCTCCATCATCAGCTCGAATTCAAAGGACCAGGTAAAGAAGTCTTTGCCGTCGAAGGGTCTTGACGTTTGCAGTTTTAAGACGTGTGCAAACTGCGACTGAACTTGAAGTGCGTCCAGTGGTCTTTCTTGTCCAGGTGAAGGTTGCGGGTGGGGCACGAAGCTGATTGACCCGCGCTCGTACGGAGCAAAGGTAGGTTGCTGCTGCTGGTTTCCTCGCGCATATGACGACCCATCAAGACTCATGGGTGTCGCTCCGTTGTTGCTGTTGTGTGTTTGTGCAGGTCCCGACTGCTGGTGTTGTTCGTAGAAGGACATGAAGGAGAAAAATTTCTCCATCATGTTCTGGTCAAAGTCCGAAGGGTGGTTCATGGGGGTCTCGGTTGACGTTCCTCTTGGTCTTGTTGCCGTGCCTTCTTCTGTCTGCAGGCCAGAGGCTGGTGGTGGAGTAGGAGTAGTGCCCGAGGAGCCATTAGGGGAGCTCCTTTCCTTGTTTGTTGCCATGTCTTGTAATGATATTGAAAAAAGAGTAGAGTTTCCCTTGTCTGCTCTGATACCATGTTGGGCTGAGATAGAACCTTAGGATCTTTGCAAGTGATAACTCTAGGTGAAGTAGTTGTAATAGCGGAAGCGTTTAGTGAAGAATTTGAACCGACCTTGCACTGGTGTGTGAGAGCAAAGTTGATTGAATTAAACAAGCAAATACAAGGATTTATATAAGAGTACAGGGAATAGATAGATAACTGTATTGCTGTTGCGGTTCGATATAGCGCGACTCGGGCAACTGCTCTGTAACGAGTCAGTTGTGTGTCCTTAACTGTCGCGCTGTAATTGTCGAGTCAAAGGTCAGCGACCTTTGACTTTCTCGTAACCTCCAGGCGGTTACCCTAACCTCCGAGGTTGACTCGATGCTTCGATTGGGACTGCTTCGCTTGGTACCTTGGATTTTGATACGACAGAAGCGCACTTAGGACTTATTGTTTCCAACATCCTAGTCATGAATTTCACTAGAATGAGCAAGCGTAGCAAGCAGGCGACTATGAATCATTGGCTCCTTGGCTCTGCCCCGGCTGTTGGCCCTGCCCCTCTGCTTGCTCCTGCTCCTGCTGTGCCAGTGCTGCCGCTTCTCTCTTCATGACCTCCTTGAGGGCGGTGCAGAAGAATGGTCTCACCAGATTGGCCTCCATGGCACTCAGATTCACAAGCTGGTGGGGTGAAAGATGGTACAGGAGCAGAATTGAGCGTATTGTGGAGTGACAGGAGCAGGCAAGCTCACACAACAGTAAAGCAGGAATCACATGTGCTTCAATAGTTACCAGAACCTAACACCCCCCCCCTCATCGCACCTTGACAGCGTTTGTGGCAGAAGAGAGTTTCTTAAGGCCCTGGTGTATCTTATTGAACCGCACGTCTCGGATGTCCTGCAGCAATGCACGCAACTGGACACAGTGGAGTGGATGGTTTCAATGGAGGGGCAAAGCTCATGATAACGGTGCAGAAAGAGATACCTAAGAAAGTGAGATTGGAAGTACACAGGATTGAGGTGGACAGTATAAAGGTAGGAAACGTCAACAATAGACATGGGAGGTGACAATAGGTGACGGGTGTCAAATACTAAAGGTCGGGGTGTGAGAATGAAAGTTTCACCTTGTATGCATCCGGAATGTCAACGCCATGCCTGGCGAGGAATGTGGAGTGGGGATAGGGGAGGCGTGGAAGAGAGTCGGAGGGAAAGGTGAGGATGGTGGGAAAGAAGAAGGATGGTGAGGAACAAGAGTCAAACTGGAATGTCCAGCAATGGAGGAATGGATGAATTACTTTTCTGCTGAGAAGAGGAGCTGGGAGATCTCAATATAGTGGAAAGGCATTTGTTGAAAGCCCTCATTCTCCCTCTCTGCTTCCAGTATCTCTGTCAACCGATCTGCAGAAAGAAAAAAAAGCGCAACAAACATGAGCGCCACGTTTCCACTTATATAGTGCAGAACAGGACAGCAGGCAGAGACATCAACCAGCAACTGCAAGCATGTGTCCGCGTTATACCCACAGAATCATTGGGATAAAAACATTGCCAACAGCACAGCACGCGGAAGGGGATGAGGACGCGGGTCACCTGCAGCAAGCCAGGGAGGCGGCTGGATGGAGCACTTGGCGCGCTTCTTGAGAGCGATGGCCAGCCATAGCGGCACCTGCAGGGCAATCTGAGGCCTGAACGGCCCAATGTCGCCCTGAAAACAGGAGGAAGAGAACAGAACGACGGGGTGGATGGACAGTTGACAGGGTATGTTGGTTGAGAAGGCCGGCATAAGAAAAGCGCACGTGAAGTGTATCAGGAAAACGCGAATCTGTGTGTGTATGTGACGGCGAGCGAGGTTAGATGTGAGTGTGCGTGTGCGGTGTGGGAGGTAGCGCGTCTCACGGCGTGGAGGTGCAGCGCGTCGGCTCGGAAGTTGGGCACGATGGACACCAGCTCGTTCTCCGCTATGAACTCGATCTGCGTACATGCACACAGTCGAATGCACACGAGCACACGCACACACGCACACTCACACACGCACACGCACACACGCACACGCAGACGGGACGACGCAGTGAGAGGGGGACGGATGGAGGACACAGGGAGAAACTTAACACGACCTATTGGAAAAAAGTGGGCTTCCGAAACATCAGCTCCGCCTTTGCTCACTTCCCCCGTTCCCCCAGCCCAAGATTCTTTTCCGTTTGCCTTCCCTTTCCTCCTCATCAACGATCTCGCTTTCCTCACCACCGTCGTCTTGCCTCTGATTCTAAGAACACCGCGCCTTTGCTGTCGCTAGATCCTGCCGCCATTCTAAGCGACCGCGTTTGTTGGAGGAGCTACTACAGGAACACAGGCAGCGGCACTAGCGTTTGAACCTCCAGAAGCAGGTCCAATCAGAACGAGTTGAATGTTCAGAACACGGAAGAAATGTCTGTTGAGAGTTCTGGCAGACCCACAAAGGCTATTGTAAAAGAGCGAGTGAGTGACGTGAGTGATTTATTCAGGCTGAAGCACATCTGCTGGAGCGACCATGAAACGAATCAGGCAGCCGCGATGAGTGCTGGTTGCAAAATAATCTGTGGACAAGCTACGGAAGCAACATGGACGTTCCCAGAGCAATTGGGTACAATATGAGTATTGTATGCGGATAGGCAGCTGTGTACACTTGTTACGGGTGCAATGAATCGAGGTAGCGAGAATTGCACTAAGGTGTCAAACGAGTACAAAATGTGAGCGAAGGCATGAGCGAACATTTATACGCGAAACATGCAAAACGGTAACGCGGTGCGTGCGAGCTTGCTAGTGCTATGCTGGAGCGAGGCTCGGGCTAGTCCCGAAGCGTAGGCCGATACGGCCATGCCAGCAGTGCGAGGTTTGGTAAAACAGTGCGCGCGAAGTCGGCGAAGTTCCGTTAGCAGTAACGGGCGAACAATCGGCTGTTGCTGTACGCGATGTAGTCGGTTCCGTAAGGAATGCCGAGAAAATTCCTTACACTACCCCCCCCCTCAAGAAGCCCCCTCCGCTACGCGAGTGCGTGTATATCGCGGAATCCCCGGCTCCTCAGGTACGCTTGCAGGGCAGGGTGATTTTCGATGTTGCTCAGGGGCACCCAGCTATCTTCAGTTGGCGTGCGGTCTTTCCAACGAACGAGGAATTCAATCCTCCTGATTCCCGTGGGGTGGCGGATCCGATGGCTCAGAATTTTTTCGGGCTCGATGATCGGCTCTGATGCAGGGCGAGTCATTGATTGTGGCCGGTGACGCGGCAGTTGACTTGTGGTCGGGATGTATGGGCGAAGTAGGCTGACGTGGAACGAAGGGCTGATGTACCAGTCGGTTGGCAACAGTAGGTGTGCGGTGACGGGTGTGATCATGTGACTGATTTGGAATGGTCCACAGTAGCGTGGTCGTAATTTTGGTACGTCGGGCAGTCGCAGATTTTGCGTGTCGAGTAGCACGTAATCTCCAGATTGATACGTGACGGGGCGGCGGTGGCGATCAGCGTTGCGCTTAGCGATGACGTTGGCCTTTTTTATTGCTTCGGCGGCTCTGGCGCGGGAAGCTTGCAGGATTTTGGCGAATTGTTGTGCGCGTGGCGTTGGGTTGTCCGGACTCGGCGTCATGGGCACTGTGGGGTTCTGCCCATAGTTCAGGTAGAACGGGGACTGCTGCGTCGTGGCTGATGTGGCGTTGTTGTACGCGAACTCGATCAGCGGCAGCTGCTGCTCCCAGGTCGTGGGGTCGTCGCACGTGGCACGAATCAACTGCTCCATCGTCTGATTCGTCCGCTCCGTTTGGCCGTCGGTCTCGGGGTGGTACGACGAACTGAACTGTAGCCTGGTCCCGAACTGCTCCCAGAGGTTCTTCCAGAAGTTGCTGGTAAATTTCGTGTCCCTGTCGCTGATAATTGCTGCTGGTATCCCGTGCAGGCGAACAACGGCTGCGATGAACAGGCGAGCGGTCTCCTCGGCTGAGATCGACTTTTTGCACGCAGTGAAGTGTGCCATCTTCGTCAGCCTATCCACGACGACCATCACCGCGTCGTTACCCCCAGGGTTCGAAGGTAACCCTGTGACGAAGTCCATGGTTACTTGCTGCCAGGCGCGTTCGGGCGGTGGGATCGGCTGCAATTGACCCGCCTTCCGCTTCCTTGAACTCTTCATCACCTGACACGTCGGGCACGAGCCCACGTGCTGCTGTACGTCGGTCAACAGCTCCGGCCAGTAATAGTACCGCTGCAGTTGCTGTCGCGTTTTTTCTACCCCGAAATGTCCCGAGGTAATCCCGTCGTGTGCCTCCTGTAGTAGCAGCTCCCTCAGTAGTGAGTACGCGGGTACCCAGATGCGGTTGGTGCCTGCTTTTACGTAATAGACTCCTTTTGCTTCTGCCAGTTGCTGTGAATTTCCGGTTGTGAAAAATGGGTCGGTGCGGTATCCGTGGGTGAATAGGCCAGTTAAAAGCGGGTTGGTCTGGGCGAGTAGGATGGCATGGAGTTGGGCGGTGGGGCGGGTGAGAGCGTCGGCGATGTTGGATGCACCCTTTTTGTACGTAACGGTGTAGTGAAAATTGGACTCGAGATAGTCCAACCAGCGAATCTGTCGTGGGTTGAGATTCGGTTGGGCGCGAAGATACTGTAGCGAGCGGTGGTCTGTCCGTACTGTCACGTCGGCGCCAGTCAGGTAACATCGCCAAAATTTGAACGCGTGCACGATCGCTAGCATCTCGCGGTCGTGTATCGGGTAGTTACGTTCGGGCGGGTGTAACTTGCGGGACTCGTACGCGATTGGCTGGAGGCCGTTCCCGAAATCCTGCAACAGTACTGCTCCCACAGCGATGTCACTTGCGTCGGTGACGAGCTCGAACGGACGGTGGGGATCTGCAATGTGAAGGACGGGCGGGGAGCACAAAATATTTTTGAGGGCCGAGAAGGCAGCTTGCTCTTTCTCCCCCCACGTGTACTCAACCCCCTTCCTCAGCAGGTCAGTCAACGGGGCAGTCAGCTTCGCCATGTCGGGGACGAACCGGCGCACGTAGTTGACGAACCCCAGGAAACTCTGCAACTCGGTCAAGTTGGTCGGCGCGTGCCAAGCCTGAATCGTCGCAATTTTCTTCGGGTCTATTTCCACTCCTGCAGCTGAAATAACATGTCCCAAAAACTCCAGGCGGTCCTGTAAAAACTCACACTTAGATGCTTTGGTCAGTAGGCGGTTCTCACTCAGGATTTTAAAAACTGCTTCGATGTCTTGTAAGTGCTGTGCTCTGTCAGGGCTGTAAATCAGTATGTCGTCCAGATAAACGATGACGCACTTATCTAAAAGCGGGCGGAATGCTTCGTTCATGGTCATTTGGAAAGTGGCGGGGGCGTTGGTCAGTCCGAATGGCATGACGGTGTATTCGAAGGATCCGTAGCGTGTTCGGAATGCGGTTTTAGGGCAGTCGGGTGGGTTGACGCGGATTTGGTGGTAGCCTCCTCGGAGGTCGATTTTCGAGAAAACCCGGGCTGTGCGCAGTTGGTCGATCAATTCGTCGGCTCGTGGGATGGGGTAACGGGATTTGATGGTAACCCTGTTCAGTGCCCTGTAGTCGATGCACATGCGAAAACCCCCGTCCTTTTTCGGTGTGAACAGTATTGGTGCGGCGAAGGGCGACGAACTAGGGCGAATGAATTCCTTTTCGAGCAGGTAATCGAGCTGCTTCCTTAGTTCGTCTAGTTCGGGTTGGGTCAGTCGGAACTGACGCTGTACTGTTGGCTGTGCCCCCGGTTCCAGTTCTATCCTGTGATCGTGCGGTCGCTGAGGTGGCAGTCCCGTCGGTAAGTCATCCGGGAAAATGTCACTGTACTGTTTTAACAGTGCCGCCAGGTCACTCGGTACGTCGGTCAGCAGTTTCTGTAAATCGCCCCCCTTGTCTGCTGCCTCGGCTTCCCGAATGTCAACCGCGTACACGTCAGCTCCGGCCGCAACAGCGCGTTTCATCGTGATCGCGTTGACACGCACCGACGAAGACTCAGGCGAGCCCCAGCGAGGTAAGGCGATGTTGTTACCGTTTACTCGCACGGTGCAGTCACCCGTCGTCCAGTCAATTCGCGGATTGTGTCGTCGCAGCCAATCACGCCCGAGTAAGATGTCGGTTCCGTCGAGGGTCGTTGCGAGCATTTCCTGACTAAACGTGAAGTTACCCCCGCATCGAATCCGAACTCGGTCTACGCGTTCCCGTATTGCCAGCGGCGTGCCGTCTACCAGTCGTGCGTCGATCTCAGGTAAGCATCGGTCCAGTGGTAGTCGCAGTTTGCGTGCTGTAGCCGTGTTAATGAGGCTGTGGCTGGCTCCCCCGTCTACGAAGATTTTAACTAAGTCCGTCCCAATTTTCCCACTGAGCAGTATAGGGCTATCTACCGTGGTACCCTCCTTATTCGGCCGGGTGTGGTCGATTGCGTGAACCGGCACAATCACTCGGTGAGGGTCGGTTGGGTCGGGCGAGCGGCGTGACCTGTCAGTAGAGGGCCCGTCTGCTACTGACTTCCAGCGTTTCCCTGCTGCTTGGTCTGTGTCTGCTGCTCAGCTTCCCCCTTTCCCTTAGCGTTTTCCGGGCATTCGCTCTTGCGATGTCCCGGCCGATTGCACGCAAAGCAGCGCCCTTTGAACGGTGCGGCAGCGGCATTTGCGGCGACGGCGCGTATCGTGGCGCTCTCGTTCGTCCCACGAGGCCGATGTCCCCAGGTGTTGTTTCCGTAGGACCCCGGTCTCGGTCGGCGAAAGAAGTCGAGCTTCTCCGCCATAGCGAGAATTTCCTGAAACTCAGTGACGCCGCGAAGCTGGATTTCCTGAGCGATGTCCTGCTTCAGGCCGCCGATGTAGCGGTCGATGCGTTCGCTCTCATGCATGTAGCCCACCTGCTCGCATAGCGCCAGAAATCCGCTCGTGTAATCCTGGACGGAACCGAGTTGGCGCCAAGTGCGGAGCTTCTGTCGCGCCGAGATCGAGGCCGCGATTGGCTCAAATCGAGCGCGCAGACCTGCGCACCACGCGTCCCACGTGCGATACTGGGGCACCTCCATGAAATACGACGGCGCCCAGGGTCCGGTTTGTCCTTCCCGTGTCGGTAGTGTCGCGTAGTCGGTCGGCTTCGTGACGATGACGCGCCACCAGTCCATGGCGGGTCCTCGCAGCAACGACACGGCGTATCGAATCTTCGCCGAGTCCTCCGAGACGTAGTTGGCGTCGAAGAAAACATTCATTGTGAATAACCACGCCTGAACGGTAGGACCACCCCGTTGACTTGGGTCAAAGCATGGCGGGCGCTGCGGTTTCAGCGGCATCGGTGACGGCAGTCCCGAATCGTGGGTTGGTGCCGAAATCGTGACGCGAGGCTGACTTGGGGCCGCAGGCGTCGCTCTGGGGTGTGTCGTGCCGTGGTCGTCGTCTCCGTCGGGGCGGACGACGCCATCACTGGCCGCGCTCGCGGGTTGCCCCACACTCCCGTGTTGTGATGTGGAGGGTGCGGGTTGAATCGGAGTGCCAGGTGCCTGGGATTGTGCTCTCAGGAGGTCATTTTGCAGTGATGAGCGTTCTGCCGTCAATGCCGCGATTTCCTCGGAGCTTTCGTGCAGTTGTCGCAGCAGATCGTTCAAACGCTCCTGCGTGAGAGTGGTGACGTCGATGTTTTCGGCCATGACGAAGGGCGTCGGCTCGTCTTAGTCTAGGCGCAGTCGTGGCTGCACGCGTTTACGAGAGAACGCGAGGACAGGGGCTCCTAGGGGCTAAGGTGCGTGAGTCCCTTCGAGTGAAAAATCAAAAGTTGATTTCCTGGTGTGCGGAGATGCGCGGTCCGAAAGAAAGGGGCTCTGATAACCAAGTGTTACGGGTGCAATGAATCGAGGTAGCGAGAATTGCACTAAGGTGTCAAACGAGTACAAAATGTGAGCGAAGGCATGAGCGAACATTTATACGCGAAACATGCAAAACGGTAACGCGGTGCGTGCGAGCTTGCTAGTGCTATGCTGGAGCGAGGCTCGGGCTAGTCCCGAAGCGTAGGCCGATACGGCCATGCCAGCAGTGCGAGGTTTGGTAAAACAGTGCGCGCGAAGTCGGCGAAGTTCCGTTAGCAGTAACGGGCGAACAATCGGCTGTTGCTGTACGCGATGTAGTCGGTTCCGTAAGGAATGCCGAGAAAATTCCTTACAACACTACAGAAACAACACTGAAGTCTCTTAGCATGCAACGTAATCACACATAGTGAATGCCAGCACACCTTTAACAGTGAGATACCTTGTCCTGACTCCGTATGCCATTTACAGTGTTACTGGTTGGTATAACCAACCGAACCAACCGAACTGACAAGGGCGCGAGCTGCCAAGACTTGGCACTGGTCCTCCTCAGCACAATACCCCTCCACCAGCGTCCTGTTCACACTGTGCATCTTCTCCTCCACTTTTGTCCTCGTCCTCGGATGCTCAAGCGGCCCATCCCTCTCACACACACCCTTTCTCTCCCAGTAGAAGTAGTCCACCACACATTAGAGCGCCAGGGCGGGGTAGTGCTGCTGGAGTGCAGCCGGTGTGGGGGCTTCCTGCCACTTGCAAGAGGGGAAGAAGAGGAACCGCAGACTTGGAGCACGCATGCAAAGAGGCGTGGCACAAATGTTTTCCCCGTGGCACTTCCGAAGGCACTTTCTTTCGTCAGGCTCATGCCAATCCTTGTCCACAGTTTTCTCCCCTTTCCAGCTACGCCTCGTACCGGTACCAAAGCGCACGGTAATCCCAAGGCTACACAGCCTCCTCCAATCTGCGTTCACCTTCTCTACAGGAACCCCATGGCTCACTATAAGCACCTCCACTGTCGGTGCGATAGTGCCTAGCCATTCGGTCCAAAAAAGGTTATCCGAATCGTAGGTTATCCGAATCGTCACACAGTCCGTCCAAGTAAGCAACCTTGACGGATGCAAGAGGGAGGGAGGAGATGGCGAGCCGCTCCTGGCCGTACAGCAAGAGATGGTCGAGAGCGAGAGGGCCAGTGCTCTTGCAGGAGAGGTCAAGCCGCTTGGCCACGACTGAGAAAGTCTTGAGCGTGGACGAGGCTTTGAGGGTGAGCTTCAGCTCGTTTCTGGCAAAGCGGAGGCGGAGGAAACGGGCGTTGGGAAATGATAAGGCCGCTCCATCAGAGACAGGAGAGGGACCAAGGAGTTGCAGGTCACCATCCTCCGTTAGCGTGAACTCGGTCAGCTGCGGCGCGATGGACTCGAGGAAATGAAGGCTCGCATCCCTGTATAGCACCCTATAGAGGGTCAGCTTGCCGACTGACTTGAGCCACGCCACGTTGATAGACTGCTTGCCGAGATCCCACATGCCCCACCCCAGATTCAGCTCCCGCAGCTGGGCGCATTCCTTGAGAAAACCCAGCGCCCATGGCCTGTAATTCTCCTCATTAAAGAAGCCAAGTGCTGCAGTGGATTGCAGCTGCAGGTGGAGAGACGTGAGGGAGGGGCTGCTGTGAGCGATGCAGGCGCCGAGAGTGGGAAGATGCTCGGGTTCGGAGAAGGAGAGGTAAATCGAATGGAGGCCTGCGCGGTTGAGGAAAAAACGGACGGTCTGCATCCACTGTGGATGCTGCTCGTTGTACACGAGCGATATGGGCTTGATCTCCTGTGATTAGTAGGTGGGTGGGGGAGTGTTGTTGCTGGTGGCTGTGAGAAACGTTGTCAACTGAAATCAGGAAACTTTGAAAGATAATACTCATGGCTGCACGCACTTGACGGTCAGGCTGAGAGGTTGATTTTAACGAACGTGGAAAACAAACTAGAACCGCCATACGAGAATGATTAAGGGAATCTGCGAATGACAGAAAAGAGAATTGAGAGCTTACAGAGAAATCAGCGACGAGATTGAGAAGCCTCTTGCTGGCAAGCGCGCAGCAAAGTAGAGCCCATGATTCGCCATACATGCGACCATTCATCCAGTGCTGCTGGTTGGCTGGGAGGCCCTCTTCACGGAACACCAGTGCATCTCGATCTACCCCAGTCCCCATCCGCGCCCTCCCGAAATTCATTTCGCGAAGCAGCTCAATACCATGAAGGGTGGGCGACAGGTGCATATCGTGGAAGATTCGAAGCCAGAGAGGGTCCGGCAGCATGTCGACTGCACCAGGGGGGGAGTTAGCTGAAAGATAAAATCGGGGAGGGGAAGGAGGGCGGAGACAGGCAAGGGAACGGATGAGTCCGTCCCCTCTCTGGCCACCTGCAACGATGGCGCGGAAAGAGGAGGTTAGAGCAGGCACCTAGTGGCTGCGATACCCAGCAACTCCGATCAATTCATCATTCAACGACATCCTCATCTCGGCTGCTCCTGCCCATTGACAACCCACGGGGCGTTCTCCCTTCGAGGCGCAGCGCAAGCGACCAGAAAATCGTACATACCTGGCAAGGGTAGCTTGGGCAGCTACTTCCCTTCCTGCGCTGGCCGCTGGTCCTCTGCTGCTGCTCTACTGCCCTCGCTGCCAGGAGCGTTGAGAGAGGAGGCTGGAGGGAGCAGGACAAGACAGGGCAGTGAAGGGGCAGGGTAGGGTGGGACAGGGCAGGAGAGTGGAGGGACAGGGAGAGGGAGATGACTTCTTAGCCTTCAGAAACCTTCATGAGTCATCCACTCACAGCAAGATGCACTCATACAAGAGCCGCCTTACTGTGCACCTGTGGGTAGGGGAAGAGGGGCCACGAGGCGTCATGAGCCATCACAAGCCGTCACAAGCCCTTATGAGGCATCACAAGCCTTCACAAGCCCTTCATGAGCCTTCACAAAACCCTCATGAGCCGTCAGAAGCCCCTCATGAGCCGTCAGAAGCCCCTCATGAGCCGTCACAAGCCTTCATGAGCAATACTGCCTCCTCGGCAGTGCTCCTGCAACCAAGTTGACCTAACGCGGCAGAAGATTTACGCGCGTGAGGGTTGGAGCCAAGCATGGCCAGGAAAAAGGTAACGAATCGCATAAATTTACTCTTGCGAATACCTTTGGTCCTCTGGAGCTTCTAAGCAATCACCGTCGCTTACTGAGATCCCCTTGGATTACTGAGATCGCCTTCGATTGCCACGAGCTGCTCTCTGCAAGACGAGACTCTGCTAAGCCTCACCACGCCGCGGTTAACATATCAGTTCCGCGAGAACAGTCTGAAACTCACTTGCGAGATCAAGTCACGCCACTGCAGCTTGAGGCGAATATTTCGTGACAGGGCGAGTCGATGGCGCGAAGTTCGCGAACACGCAGAGAAGTCCCACAAGGGTTCAGTGAGGCCATATGCTTCTTTTGAACGTTTCAAACTGGCAAGATCTAGGCTAGGTACTAGTCCAGTATGTGGTACAGCATATGTGCTCATGCAGATGTGCTCCCGCAGGGACTCTCGAGGTTGCCTATCGTTACCACTGAAGCCTCCCTCGATACCATCGGTTTTGCAGGATGCAATGGTTCCGATACGGTACGTCCTTCGAATTGACTGGTCACAAGAAAAATTATTGGGTATGTGTGAATCAATAAAATATCCTTTTACATGTGGACCATAATACACTAGCGTACCACACACGTTTTAAGGGGAATTGACATTGGTCCTAGTATGCTGACTTGTAGCGCAATGTGATACGTGTGGTCTAAGATATCATCCATCACTGTATACAACCCAGTAGTACCTATCCTGCACTAAAAAAGCAGTTTCAGCACCACAACAGCTCCCAACCTCACCCTGTCCCACTCGTGTGTGCGTCACTGTCTTTCTCACCCTTGTCCTCCTCATCCGCTCTGCTCCCAGGCAGTACAGAAGTCGACCCAGACCCAACGCCCCCAGCATCCCACGCCATGCCTTGCTGCTCTAGCGACAGATCCAGGCCGTCCCCGCCCTGGCCCTGCATGTGCGCGACCACATCATGCAGGCTCGTGAGGTACGTCCACGCATCCAGCATGGACGGGCGTCTCTGGCTCTGTTCCGCCGTGCACCGCAGCGCCAGTCTCAGCACGGCCTCCACTGCCCTGGTGGGCGCAGACGGCCCCAGCAGCGGGTCCAGCACGGCAGAGACAGGCGAGGAGAAGGCCCACCTCGCCAGCCCTCTATCCTCCACCTCCTCGTCGTATGGCGATCGCCCTGACACCAGCTGCAGCAGCACCACCCCGAATGCAAACACGTCTGTGGCTGTGGTGACCCTCCCCCGCTGCGCATACTCCGGGGCCATGTAGCCATACGTGCCCAGCACGGCCGTGGACATGTGTGATGCCCGCACGTCCACCTGCCGTGCCAGGCCGAAGTCAGCCACTCGCACCGTGAACGTGTGTTGGGCAGCAGGCAGGGATGTGGAGGAAAGAGTGGTGGAGGAGGGGTGCGGTGAGGGTAGTGACGGTGCAGATGCTTGGGTTGAAGAAGACGGGGTGGGATGAGAAGTTGCTGGAGAGGAGAGAGGGTCAAGCTTGATTGGCTCGCGGTGAAGCAGATGAGGGGCGGAGGAGGCAGAGGGCAAGGACGGCAGTGCAGAGTTGTGCGGAGGAGGCGCGGTTTGCAGGTGGATGGAACTATTGGAAGCAATTGTGCTCCCTGACATGGCCTTGGCTGTTGTTGCAGGCTCACTTGCAGTGCTGTTGCCAATGCTGCTAGGGATTCCTAAAGGCCTTGGATCGACCGTGCATGGCTTGCCATAGGTTGAATAGGTACCTCCGTCGATGCTGCTGCACGCACCACTGCTGCACGCACCACTGCTGCCAGCACCACTGTTGTCAGTATTAGCACCGCTGCCGCTGCTGTTCCCAGGCTCATTTACACCTTTATCCTTCTCACTCACACTGCCATTCCCCATCCCACTTCCACTTGCGTTCCCACTACCAGATTCTGTTGTCCCTCTTGACCCACTACCACTGCCTGTTCCTGGCCCACTGGCACTCCCTGTTCCTGATCCACTACCAGTCCCTGTTCCCGACCCACTCACCACCGTGCTACCGCCACTACTGCTACCCTCCTGCCCCCCATGAGCGCTCCTAGACTCGACCACAAGTATATTGGAGGGCTTGATGTCGCGGTGAATGATGTACGGCGAGCACTCATGATGCAGGTACTTGAGCGCCTTGGTCAACCCCATCGCAATGCTCAGCCTCGCCTCCCACTTGTTGAACCCTACCCCGGGTGCAGCCTCCCTCCTCCTCCTCAGCAGGTCTTCCAAGCTGCCCCCAGCAATGTACTCATAGATGAGCCACCTGTCCCCCGCCTCCACGTTCACATATGCCCCGTACAGCCGCACCAGGTTCTGGTGCTCCAGCTGCCCTAGCGTCCGCACCTCTGCCTGCACCTCCTTGTTTGCTTGCTGCTCTGCTGCCTCCCTTGCCTCCTCCCCTGAAACCCCCTTGCCCTTCTTGCTCCCCTTGCCCTTTTTGCTCCCCTTGCCCATGGCCGTGGTAGCGGGAGAGCCAGAGTGCAGCAGGGGCAGCGACGAATGGAGCCTTTTGATGGCCAGCGTGCACTGCGTGCCGGGCACATTGCACCTGGTGCCGCACACAGGGGGGGAGGGGCGGGGAAGAAGGCAAATGGACGGGGACATGAGTGAAGGGACAGTGTGCTGTGGGAAGGAGTTAGCATTCATGTGGGTCGTGCAGCGGTCACGTGAGCAAGAATTCGTATGCTGTGGTTGCAGATCTTACCAGGTCGCATCACACATAATCGTAAGAAACCTGTTTTCAACAATTCCGCACACATGTTGGGGGCGTAGACCCCAGCCTTCCCAGGCTTACTTGTAGACGCTGCCAAAGCCGCCCTTGCCCAGCAACATAGAGTCACTGAAGTTCTTGGTGCCCTCCACTATCCCCTCCACCGTCACCTTCACTGGCGCCTGCTTCACTATCAGCAGGTACCCGTTCAGCCGCTTCCTCCTCTCCACCTCCCTCCTCCTCCCCATTACACACAGTGCTGCTGCCACCACGGCAAGCGTGCACACACTCGCTGCCACAATGCCTGCCACTGCCGCCGCTGGCAAACCAGCTGAATTTCCCGGAGGAGGGGAGGAGGGCGGAGGCAGGGAGCAGGGGACGTTGGTGGGAATGCCACAGAGAGCGGAGTTGTTGGCATAGGAAGCCACAGGGAGGGCGGAAAGTGGGCCGGCGGGGATCGGACCCGAGAGGAAGTTGGAGGAGAGGTTGAGGGAGCGGAGGGACGAGAGGGAAGAGAGGGTGGAAGGGATGGAGCCGGTGAGTGCGTTCCAAGAGGCGTCCAGCACCGACAGCTGCTGCAGGCCTGCCAAGCCCGAGGGCAGTGAGCCCGACAGGCGGTTGGCGGAGAGATTGAGGGCGACGAGCTGTGTGAGTGTGGAGAGGCCGTCAGGGATGGACCCTGCCAGCTCGTTGCCGCCCAGCAGCAGCTGCGCCACACTCGCACTCCCTGCACTTCCAGCACCGCTGCCCCCAGACGGGGCGGCACCAAGGAACTGAGGGATAGGCCCGGACAAGCGGTTGTTGCTGAGGTCAACGCGCACAAGCGCGGGCAGCTGTGCAAGGTCTGCTGGGATGGCGCCTGTGAGGTTGCTACTGGCCAGGGAGAGCTCCTGCAGGAGTGAGAGCGCTGCAAGGTTCTCCGGCAGGGCACCCTCGAGTTCATTCCCACTCAAGTCGAGGGTTTTGAGAGCGGTGAGCGCGGTGATGCGGGCGGGGATGGAGCCGGAGAGGCGGTTTCCCGGGAGCAGCAGCACGGAGAGGTTGGCAGTGGAGGCGATGAAGGCGCGTGGGATGGCGCCGGTGAGAGCGTTGAAGGATAGATCCAGCATCACCAGCCGCCCCAGCGATGCCGGCAGCGGCCCGCTGAACCGGTTGTGCGGGGCTGAGAAGTAGATGAAGCGCCGCTCTGCCGAGCTCAGGTCGGGCGGTATGCGGCCGGACAGCGCATTGCCGTCCAGCCAGATCTCGGTGATGTTCTCTAGGCGCGCCAGCGGCAGTGGGCCCCAGAGCTTGTTGCGCTCCAGGCGCACCTGGCGCAGGCGGCGCAGCATGCGGAAGGAGGCAGGGAGGGAGCCCGAGAGGCGGTTGTCGTCCAGGAAGAGATTCTCTAGCAGCTCGCACTTGCCTAGCGACGCTGGCACGCGCCCGCTCAGCTGGTTGCCACTGAACCGCAGGCTGCGCATGCGCGTGTAACTGGGCGACGCGCAGAACGGGGGGATGCGGCCGGTGAGGTTGTTTCTGGAGAGGTCCAGCTGGCCCAGGGCCGGCAGCGAGGCGAGGCCTGTCGGTGGCAAGGCTGAGAGGGAGTTGTTGAGGAGGATGAGCGTTTCGAGCGAGGTCATGTGGCTGACAGATGCCGGCATGCTGCCACTGAAGCCATTCGTGCCCGCATCCAGCCACACCAGCCCCGTGCACGCGGTAAAGTCCGGCAGCGGGCCAGAAAAGGCGTTTCCGGTGATCTCTATGCTGAAGGCGACGCGGCACCAGGCGGAGAAGACGTGCGAGGGGAGCGTCCCTGAGAGGCGGTTGGTGACGAGGTCCAGGATGAGGAGCCCTGTGAGCGCTGAGAGCGCCTCTGGCACACTGCCCGAGAGATTGTTCGTGCCCAACGCCAGCTCCGAGAGCATGGAGAGGCGCCCGAGAGCTGTTGGGATGGAGGAGGTGAGCGAGTTGACGTTGAGGTAGAGGTAGGAGAGGGATGGGAGTGCGCCGAGGGTGGCGGGGATGGTGCCGGATAGCTGGTTGTTGGAGAGGGAGAGGGAGACCAAGGCGGAGAGGCGGGAGAAGGCGGCGGGGATGGTGCCGGACAGCTTGTTGATGGAGAGGTCGAGCAGCGTGAGCGCGGGGAGGAGCGCGATGGCGGAGGGGATGGAGGAGGATAGGGCGTTGTCGGAGAGCACAAGGTACTGCAAGGAGGGGAGGGCGGCGAGGGAGGAGGAGATGGTGCCTTGCAGGCCCAGCTGTGACAACACCAGGCCCACCACAGCGTTTGGGTTGGGGGTGCTGGTCACAGCGCTCACAGCGCTGACAGCGCTGACAGAGGCAGCAGCAACGGTGGTGGTGGTGCCGTTAGCAGCGTCCGGTAGGCCTATCTCGTTGGAGCACACCACCCCGGTCCAGCCGCACAGCGGCACCAGCGACGTGAGCGACCATTCCTTCAGCACTTTCTGTGACGCCGGGGTTAGAGCTGCCTGGAACTCCAACAGCGCCGCCTTCTCTCGCTCCCGCCCATCGCTGCTTCCCCCTTGCGCTACACCCACCATGGCCTCCATGCGCTGTTGTTGTGCTGCCACCGCCCCTCCCACCACAGAGCGCGGCGACAGGCTCTCATCCAGTTGAGCGCACAGCTGAGCCATATCGTACCGCCTCTCCCCATCCTCACTCTCTACCGCTGCTCCTCCGCTATCTTCCTTTCCGCCATGCTCGTTCCCCCTCTGCCGCGCCCACAACAACTCCGCGGACGTCAGGCCGCGCGCTCCAACGCGGGGTTGTTGTCTTTCCGCAACCTCCTTCATCCCTCGCCCCACCACCCCTCTCGTCCGCGCGGGTGGGCGCGCCATCAAGGCCGCTAGCTCCGCCTCCATGCGCCGCTCAAACGCTTCCCGCTGCCCGCCGCTCAACCGCCGCCGCCCTTCCACCGCCACTCCCGCGTACCACGGCCGCCTGCTTCCGCTTCGCACGCCCAGGGCTTCACGCGCACCCGCCGCTGAAGAGGACCGCGCGCACGCCCACGCCAGCGCCTGGCGTTGCGGCCACTCCAAGCTTCGCAGTTGCTGCCACGTAATACGCCCCCCCTCCATCCAGACGGCAGGCGCTGCGACGCATGTGGCTGCGGTCAACACAAGGGGAGGAAGCGCATCAAAAGGTCGGCCCGGCGATAGGTCAGCGGACAAGACATGCGTGGACGGGGCCAGGAACGGCGCGAGGCGCACTCACAGTAAGTCAAGGCGTGGGCGGCGACGAGCAGGAGGAGGAAAGCCAGTGCGTGACGCGGCGAGCGAGGCGAGCGCAGGAAGTACGCGAGACACATTGCGATGACGGGAGAAGGTGATTTCCTGTGTAGCACTGCCCAGCGCACTGCATCTCCAGGCAAGCAAAACGGTTCCGAGATTAGGATTCTCCCGCTTGCTCTTGGTCTAACGTCCAGTTTAGTAAACCCCAGCACCAAAATAGCTGTTCTGTTCTGGTAAAGGTTGATGTGCTTTATGGGCGACGGAAGGAACTTGGACATGGAGCTTGAAAAAGCTGCGAGTAACGCCTGCACCACCCCACCGTCGGGGTGCTGCTGAATCGATGGCGTGGTGTCATTTGTCATTTCACCCCTTCCAAAGTCGTGGGAAATCTCAGTATCTGACAAGTACGCTGGGAACCGAATTGCACCGCAATAACGTTGACAATGCACATGGCAAACAATGAACAGTCCCACTGCTCGTGGCCCCTTGAGTGGATTCAGCACGTTACTGTAGCAGCCGACGACGTTGAAAAAGCCTTGCACTGCGTCAGGCCAGGCCGAACAAACACCCCTCCATCCATGCATGAGCTGATGTGCTTGGCTTGGCACCCAAGTCACCGCCTGCAGAATCAGAAATATGTGAACTATATATTGTTAGAAATTTATTTACCATAATTCAAAACCTTGTGCGCTTCAACTATTCACACTTTACACGGGAAAATCGTCCAAATCCCAGATTTATACTCTTACATGGTCAGCTCTGCTCCAGTTGTGGTTGTTTGTGGGTGGGATGTACCGTACGTGGGAAGCAGCAAACAGCAAGCAGAGTGACGAGGGGAGCTGCACATGGCGAACCAGCTTTCGGATGGATGGGGTGCGGTAATAATGGTGCGCAGTGAAAAGTAACCAGTCCCAGTGGTAATAATTAGGTTGAGGGAGCTCCAGCCCATGAGACTACACATTGTGTGCACTATGTACTACTACTAACCCTACAAGCACCTCCCACCAACCCTAACATGCCTTCCACGACGCCTTGACCTTTCTCCGACAAGCCAATGGGTTCCAGCGTGTACAGTATGGTAACTAGTTATTGTTTCGTGACAAAGCTTGTGCGCAGCTAATGCCGGAGTGTTCTTTGCGACGGTTGCGAAGTTAAGTGTAGTCAGCGGTTTCGAGCGGGATGTGCGCTTGTCAACGATCGTCTGTTCCGAAGTGATTGGCTCTTGTAAACTTGTTTAAGCCTTTACCTGGAGAACCTTGCAGTGCGGGCACGGCCATGGCCCCTCAATTTAATCTCCCGTGCGCTTCTCGCCTGTTCGCGCCACACCCTGATCCCGTGCCGTTGCTTGTTGCGGGATGCGTCTGCGCGTGAGTAGCGGAAAGTGCTCTTTTGCGGAAGCAAGGCGGGAGACAGCAAGGGGCGCGCGGCCAAGCTGCGCGTGTGGGGATCGTGAGCGCGGGAGGACGGCGGCAGCAGGGCCATGTGGGGTGGGGCGGGAGAGGTCGTGGGCGGGAATACAGGAGCGGCGCAGTGAGGCGACCTGCGTGGCGCCAGCGGGCGGACCAGGGTGTGGTAGTACGGAATCGAGTCTTTAGGCGCAAGGGAAGGGGGGGTCGGAGGCTGCCGTGCAGCAGCGGTGAGTGTGAGCGTTAGTGCGCAGCGGTGGGTGGCAGCCCCGGTGATGGCCATGATGTCGCCTGGTCACGCCTCCTTGTCATCGCCCGTCACCCCTCGCGCCCTCGCCTCGCCCGTCGTTGCTGCCATCCCGCCCGCGTACGGCAGTGCGGCCGCGCACGGGGACACCAGCAGCGACGGCGATGAGAGCGCTGGTAGCGCGGGCCGTGTGGGCGTGGGCAGGAGCGAGCACGGCGGCGGCAGCGGCGGGGCCCACGAGGGCGTGGCGGGTGAGTCGCTGCTGCAGCAGCACCAACGGGCGCGGGCCGAGGAGGCCGTGTCCGCGCTATCGAGTCCGGATATATCGGATCCGGATGATAGCGACGAGGAGGCGGAGGAGCGGGAGGAGGCAGAGCACACGCAGCAGGTGCTGGGCAAGGCGTACGCGAACGTGTTCGACCGCTACCACATGGGCGCGGAGCTGGGGCGCGGGCAGTACGGCGTCATCTGGCTCGCGACGGAGCGCGCCACGGGCGAGACTCTCGCGTGCAAGTCGATCTGCAAGGCGAAGCTGGAGGGCGACGGCGACGTGGAGGACGTGCGGCGCGAGGTGGCGGTCATGCAGGCGGTGCGCGGGCACGCCGCCATCGTGGAGCTGCGCGGCACGTTCGAGGACCGCCAGTGGGTGCACGTGCTCATGGACGTGTGCCTGGGCGGCGAGCTGTACCAGCGCATCCTGCAGCGGCAGCGGTACCCCGAGAGCGACGCGGCGGTGGTGTGCCACACGCTGCTGTCCGTGGTGGCGCACCTGAACGCGCTGGGGCTCATGCACCGCGACCTCAAGCCCGAAAACATCCTGCTCGTGTCGCCGGACTCGCACACAGACGTCAAGATCGCTGACTTCGGCCTCGCCACCTTCGTTCAGCCAGGTGCGTGGGTGCTCTGCCTGCCATGCCATGCCATGGGATGTGTGCCGTACTCCTCCCTTTCCCATTTTCCTCGCTCTGCATCCACCCGCCCACCCACCCACCCGCCCACCCGTCCACCCGTTCCGCATCTTTCCACCCCCCTCCCTCCCCCCCCCCCCCCCACCTGGCGGCTGCAGGTGCGGCACTGAGCGCGATGGCGGGGAGCGCGTTCTACATAGCGCCGGAGGTGCTGGCGGCGCAGTACGGCGTGGAGGCGGACATGTGGAGCGTGGGCGTGGTGCTCTTCATCCTGCTCTCGGGCCTGCCGCCCTTCTGGGCGCCCTCCGAGGACGGCATCTTCCAGGCCATCGCGGCGGGCCACGTGGACATGAGCGCGGGCGTGTGGGAGGGCGTGTCGGCAGACGCCAAGGACCTCGTGTCGCGCATGCTCACCCTCGACCCTCGCCACCGCATCACTCCGTTGCAGGCTCTCAGTGAGTGCCGGCCGTCATACTCCTCCCTCCCTCTGCACTCCTTCCTTCAATGCTCTGCCTCTTGTGCTCCTTCCCGTGCCACCCCCCCTGCTTAGCCCTTTCCCTCGCTCGCCCCCTGTGGTCTGTCTCCCCCCAGATCACCGCTGGTTGAAGGAGCACTGTGGCAACCTCACCAGCGTGCCCCCCTCGCTGCCCGCTACGTCCACCTCTGCTGCCAGTACCCCCGAACTTACTCCTAACCCTCCCGTACCACCGACGCCAGCTGCACCAGCAGCACCATCGGCACCAGCAGAAGCAGACGCAGCAACGGCAGCAGATGCGACTTCACCAGCCGTTGCTGCAGCTAGTTCAAGCGGCAGCACAGCGGGCGGCAGTACAAGCGCCCCGTCAACCAGCGCGGCGTTGCGCAGCAGTGGCCGCAGCATTGGCAACAGCGCCAGCAGGCGCAGGCGCGGGGTGGACGGCAGCAGCAGCAGCAGCAGCAGCCGCGTGCTGGCAGGGCTAGGGGGACGGGAGGATGCCAGCATAGGCGAGGGCGCATTGGCGGTGGGGGGGGGCAAGGGGGGGGATAAGTCTGAGTTGATGGAGCTGTTGCAGCAGCAGATGAACATGAAGAGCAGGGGCCGCGTGGGCAAGAAGAAAGGCAAAGCCTCTGACGCACGCGCAGCAACTGCTGCTGCTTCTGCCTCCGGCAACGGCGGTGCCAGTGGTGGGGGCAGGGAGGGGGCTGGTGGGGCCGGGGGCGTGGGGTTGATGACGAAGCGCAGCAGTGTGGCGCGCCTAGTATTCGAGGAAATGCTCACAGAGGTGGCGGCGGGCAGGGGCAGGCGAGGCGCCGTGGCGTCGTCCAGGCAGAAGGGGGCGGGCGCGCCTGGCAGCGGCAGCGGCAGCGGCGGCGGCGGCGGCGGCGGCGGCAGCAGCAGCTCCATAGCGCGGTCGCGGTCGTCGGACGTGAGTGCGCTCATGGGCTTCGCTAAGAGCCCTCACGCCGACCCCCTGGGGTTGCCCGTGCCCGCTGGCGCGTTGCTGCGCGGCAGGCGCACGCTGAGCAGACGGTTTGAGCGAGAGGAGGAGGAGGAGGAGGAGGGAGGCGTGGACGATGAGGACGATGGATGGCGGGCGGCGGAGGATGACGGGGAGACAGATGGCACAGGGCAGAGGAAGGTGGGTGAGGGTGTGGGCGAGGGCAGGTCAGAACGGAGTCCGAAGCTGAGCCCTGCTCCGCACAGCCCGCTTGCCCTCGCCACAGCGCGCGTGGGGGATGGTGGGCGCGAGGCGAGCAGGGAGGCGTGGCGAGTGGAGCGCGAGGGCAGCAGGCGCGTGGAGAAGGGCGAGCTAATGCAGCTGCTGGCCTCGGTGGAGACGTACATGGCTGCAGCAGCAGCAGACGTGCCTGCTGCTGCTCCACACACGCCCGCAGCCGCTGCAGCAGCAGCAGGGCAGGTGGGGAAGGGAACTGTACCGCGCGTGTCCAGTGCAGATGATGTGACAGGCAAGGCCAAGGCGGGCGGCAAGGCTGGCGAAGGGGATGCGCGGCAGGGTGTGGGTAGAGGCGCCACTGCGCGAGCCACGCCGCCGCTGCCTGTGGGGCGCGCCAAGACAGACGTGGGGAGCACCGTTCTGGCTGTCACGCCAGCTCCTGCTGCTGCCACTGTGGCGACTGATGCTGCTGCTGCGGTGGCCGCTGCACCCGGGACAGGGTCAGCAGCAAGTTCAGTGAGAGGGCTGGGTGTGGGAGCGGGGACATCTGCGGGCGGGGGTGGGGGCGGGGCAGCGAGCGGCAGCAGCAGCGGTCGCTTGTTGCGGCATCGGTCAGAGGTGGTGGGGCTTATGAGAGGCGGACCAGACGCTGACAGGGGCGCGCCCACTGGTGCTGCTGCTGGCGCTGGTGGCGGGGCAGATGCTGGGGGCAGGAGGCCGGGCAGGAAGACAATGAGCGAGCTGCTGTCGGCTCTGAACGACCTGGATGGCATGGCTGCTGGCAGTGCTGCCCTTGGGGGCACTCCTGGCAGCAAGGGCGTGGGGGGCAGGGAGGCACGGGTGTGGGAGAAGGAGAAGGAGAAGGAAAAGGAGAAAAAGGAGAAAGTGAAAGAGAAGAGGAAGGAAAAGGAGGAGAAAGAGAAGGAGAAGGAGAGAGAGAAGGAGAAAGGCAAAGTGGAAGTGAAGGTGAAGGAAAGTGAGAAGGATAGTGAGAATGTCATGATAGCAGATGGAGAAGTTGAGCAGGAAAAGGGTTGCAAAAACGGAGATTTGGAGGGCTGTGAGAGTAGTGGGGACAAGGAGAAGGAGCAGGGAGGGGAGCAAGGGGGGGACTCTGGCGCTGTGAGTGGTGAGGAGCCTGAGGCGCGGCGTGGTGGCGAGGGGCAGGCAGACAATGTGGTCCACGCTGCACAGGAGAGTGGCGAGGACGGGGAGATGGAAGCGTGGGAGTGGGAGGAGAAGGAAAGAATTCGAGTGCAGGAGGAGAGGGAGCAAGAGACACAGCGACCACTTGAAGCCTTTTCCACCGCAGCAGCAGAAGCAACAGCAACAGCAGCAGCAGCAATGGCACGGGGCATGGCAGACCCTAGTGCAGCTGCAGGGAGTGCACCTACGGCGCCGTGGCGTCGCCTGGTGTCCCTGCCCATCTATGCGTCGCCCTCCAACCCCACCAGTGCGGCGCCACCCCAGTGGGGGTCGGACAGCAATGCTGCCATGGCACCTGCCAGCCCTCTGCTTGGGGCGCCGGGCCCTGCCGCTCACGCCCACGCTGCTCTTGCTCTTACTGACGGCGATTCTGCAGCTGGCTTCGCCACCCCGTTAGGCGGCAGCCGAGGGCAGAAGCGTGTGGCGCTGCGCTCTCTCTCCACGCACGCGCTGCGCTCCTCCTATGCTGCCGGCCTCTCTACCCCGCCACCAGCTGTGCCGGCAGCAGCAGCAGGGGCCAGCTGGAATGCAGATGGCACCGTTTCTCCGGGGCTAGCAGGGGAGTGGGCGAAGGGCGGCAGCAGCAGGGGTCAGGGGAGAACGGTAGGCGATTACGCTGGTAGAGCTGCCACTACCCCGCTTGCGGCACCTGTGAGCGGTGGCAAGGGGCCCATGGGCAAGGGGAAGTGGGTTGCCGGTGCTGGAGGCGCTGGGGCTAGTGCTGCTCGTGGTGGGGTGGCAGCGGGCGCAGGGGAGGCAGGAGAGGAGGGGAACGGGGCGAGGGAGAGTGAGGAGCGCTTGCGGTCGCCTCGCCTGGATGCAGGCGCGCCCTTCTCCCCCGCCGCCACGCCCACCTGGGGTGCCGCCAGGGCACGCTTCCCCCCATCCGCCACGGAGCCTGTAAATCTCCCCCCGCGCTCCCCCCTGCCCCACGCCAAGTCGCTGAGTGGAACCGTGCCTGCCAATGGCTTTGGAGGGAGCTGGAACAGTGCCGGCGCCACCAGCAGCAGTGGTGGCGCCGGGGGTGGCGGGGCAGGGGGGGTGATTAGCAGCAGTAGCAGCACCAGCAGCACTTGCAGCGGCAGTAGCATCCCTGGGAGTAGCACGAGTAGCAGCAGTGTGAGTGGGAGTAGTGGCAGTGGCACTGGCAGCCAGGCAGGCAGCAAAGCATGGGGCTCTGGGAGTGGATACGTGGGGGGACAAGGCCAACAAGCCATGTTGCACAACGCTCATCTCACCAACCCTGTCTCTCCTCACCCTCTCTCCCCTCGCTCGCTTGCTAGCCCGTTTACCCATCCGCATGCCTTCCGTCCAACGTCTCCCCTGTCTCGATCCCCCAGTCCAGCCTCACGCTACTCCCACCCCCCACTCACCTCCTTGCCTTCCTCCCAGGCTCCCATGTTCGACCAATCGCAGCCGTTCGCCTCCCCCCAGCCCTCCCCCATGCCTGTCTCCCCGCATCACCACACGGCCGCCTTCCCCCACGCCTTCCCTGTGCATCCTGACTTCCACTTGCCCATGCCCGCCCGCCATGGCCCCACTCCCTCCTTCCCAAAGTCTCCTCGCAGCGAGCCACGCTTGAAGAGCAGTGTCAGCTTTGGGGGCGGTGTGGGGCCGCCGACAGGCTCTGGGGCAGCAGCGCTCCCGGGGGGCCACATGCGCTCGCCTCTCCATCGCACTGCATCCGCCACCGCTGCTGCCGCGCCTCCATCGTCCTTGGCTGCTGCCCGTGCGCCTGGCAGCATCACCCTCGCAAAGCCCTACAACCCTCCGCCCTCGGCTGCAGCAGCAGGCATTGCGGTAGCGGGTTCATACGACTCATACGGGTCAGGCACAGGGCTTATCCCAGACGACCAGGCCTTCTGTCGCCCGCTCTACCCCGCTCCTGACTCCGCCTTCCCGCTCTCGCCCCTCCACCCACACCACCACCCTCACCACGACTATAACCATGGGGGGTATCACCTGCCCGCTGACCCTGGCAGCGGCGCGGGCGAAGGGGGTGGGTACGCCATGGGGTATGCGGCGGAAAACGTGAGCTCGTACCGGTCTTTCCATCGCGGGCAGGCGACGGGGCACATGGGGCAAGGAGGCGTGCGGTCATCCCTGGGGCACTCGCGCAGCATGCAGCAGTATGAGGCTATGCCGAGTGGCGATATGTATGCGAGTGGGGATGCTGTGGATGAGTACGAGGGCGAACAGCAGTACATGGCAGGGCGTGCAGGAGAGTACGGTAATGGGCAGCAGTGGGAAGGCGAGGGCGCGGGTTACCTATCTCGGAGATACAGCTTTGAGAACGGGCAAGGGACATTGTCAGTTGGTGCTAGTGTGGATGGCGCGTGGATGTATAACACAGGGGAAGGGCATGGTGTTGCAAGAAGGCGGGATAGGGATCGACTGGACAAGGGAGGGAGGAGAGAGCGAGAGGTACGCGGAGTGCGAGAGCTGCAGCGCGCAGCAGAGGTGCCGTGCATGCCTGTTGGCGCCGCCTCTGGCACCAGGGGCAGCGGTATTGTGGGTGTTGGTGGCAGTGGGAGTGAGAGGGTGCGATCTGAGAGAAGGAAGCAGCTGCTGCGGCAGAGGTCACAGGACGCCCCTGTGGCTGCAGCACTGGTGATGGGGGCAGGAAGAGGGGGGCGCATGAGTGGGGAGAGTGAGGTGCATGCAGCGCGCAGCATCAGCCTCAACACCGTGCAAGCCGCCATGAGCCGGGACACGTCTGCTGGCTCTGCTGACTCGGCGTCGCCCCTGGAGTCGCCGTGCGTGAGCTGGGCAGAAGATGAGGGGATGGAGGCGGGTGATGGCATGGGCGAGGGCATTGCGCTGGTGATGCGGCGCGAAGGCATGCTGCCCATGCAGGGAGCGAGGGGGCAGCAGGGGGAGATGGACAGCGAGGGTAGTGGGAGAAGGGGCGGTGAGAGACCGTCAGGGAGCGAGTGGGAGGAGAGTATGGAGGGGAGCGATGACGAGGCGGTACAGGGCGAGGAGGAGGAGGAGGATGTGTATAGTGAGTGGAGTGATGGCGCAGGGTCCAGCTCAGGGTCAGAGGCGGCGTGGGGACGGGATGAGGTGGAGAGTGACGGGGGTGCGCGAGTGGGCACGGATGTGTTGGTTGGCATGCTGAGAGAAAGAAGTGTTTCGATAAGTGATTTAGATAACAGTGGCAATGAGGGTTCAGATGGGTGGAGTGCAAGTGATGGGGAAGGAGTAGACGCTGAGCTGTGGGAGGGCGAGAGGGAGAGTAAGAGGGAGAGGGATAGTGACCGGGCTAAGTGCAACGGAGACAGAGTGAGGGAGGATGACAGAGATTGGGATGACGATAGGGATCGATACAGAGAGAGGGATCGAGACAAGGAGAGAGCTAGGCCGAGGGATCGGGATCGAGACGGGGCGAGAGACAAAGAACAAGGGAGGAACCGAGACCCGGAGAGAGGCAGGGAGGATCGAGAGAAAGAAAGATATAGGTCCAGGGAAAGTGAAAAGCCAAAGTCGAAGCACAGGGATAGAAGTCGAGAACGGGACAGCAGGCACTGTGACAGCTCGAGTAGGCACAGGGAGAAGCGGGGATCAAAGAGCAGAGACACGTATTCTGAACAGGACAGGCACAGAGAGCATGGAAAGGAGCGGGCGAGGGAGAGGGAGCGGGCGAGGGATGGCAAGCATGGGAGAGGCAGCGAGAGGGAGCGAGATCGGCATGAGAGCACAAGGGAGAGCGGAAGGGAGAGGAGCAAAGAGAGACATGGACACAAGGACAGGGAGAGAAGCAGTGATCGAGAGAGGAGCCATGAGCGTGATGAGGCACGGAGAAAGGAGAAGCGGAAGGAGAGGGATCAGCAGAGCCGAAGGAAGGATCCTGAGCAGGCACGCGAGGGCGGTGGGGACAGGGAGAGACGACGGGAACGAGACGGTGGTAAGACAAGAGAGAGACGCCAGGAGAGGTATGAAGAGAGGGAGTGGGAAGAAGAGCGGGAAGGGAAATGGGATAAGGAGGATGATAGGGAGCGAAGCAGAGGTTCGAAAGCTGAAGCTCAATCAATGGTGGAGGATGGTGGTGGTAGGGGGAAGGGGAGAGATAAAGAAAGAGAAAAAAATCGTGATAAGGAGAAAGGAAGAGAGAAAGATCGAGAGAGGGGTAAGGAACGAGACAGAGACAGGGATAAGGAGAGGGAGAGAGACAAAGGTAGGGACAGGGATAAGGAGAGAGACAGGGATAGGGATAAGGAGAGAGACAGGGATAGGGATAAGGACAGGGATAGGAATAGGGATAGAGAAAGAGAGAAAGAGAGGGACAGGGATAGCGAGAGGAACCGGGAGAAAGGGAGAGAGAGTTCCAAGCACAAAGGCGAGAGGACACGTGAGCGGGACAGGGACAGGGAAGAAAGAGACAGAGATCGGTACAAGGACGGCAAGGACAAGGAGAAGAGCCGCGATAAAGCCAAGAGGCTGGAGAAAGGGAAGGAGCAGAACCGTGACAGGGAAAAGGGTGGCAGGAGCTACAAGGAGAAGTAGGATAAGGACGCAGTTTCAGCAAACCAAAACAGTGTACGACATCCGACTGGTGATTTACCTTTGTGAAGGTGACTACAACCCGTGGCACTCTGCTCAACCATTTTCAGCCATGCAGAATGCACTACACCCCTCTCTCATCTCCCACTTGCACTTTCCCTACACCGTTCTGTCCATGCTCCCTCACAGCCAGTTGTTCCAGTTCAGCACGCATACCTGCAGTGTTTAGTTATTGTTCCCCCCTTTTTTTTTCACTCCGTTTCCCTGCTTCCTGGAAATGGCCCAGGTAACTTATTCTTAACATGTCTGCGAGACTGACTTACTAACTGGTTCCATGTATCTCAATTTTCAAACATTTTCAAGCCTACATAATGGTTCACTGGGTTCCTCTCTGGTTCAGAAGTGGGCACTTGTGTTGGTGTTCCTGGTGCACTTGTAGGGGTGTAGTTAGCAATTGACAGCTTTCTTCAGGGGGATGCAATGTTTTCATGTAGCCAGTTTGATCCAGCTGCCCTATCCACTCTTGGCTGATCATCATCGCAATCGCGCAGCGGGTAATGAAGATGCCAAACCGAGTTTGTCAGCTTGATCTCCGAGCTTGCGAAGTGAGAACGAAAAACGCATGTGTGCATCCTCATCGCGGTGAAATGGGAAAAGCTGCGGCTCCCACCAATAGCTGGAGAAGTGAGCACGAACAGTCGTCGCCAAGTGTCCACTTCTCCTACACCTAGTCCGCGGTATTTTAACCAGGTGAACTTTGTTCTTTCAAACCCCCTTTGTTCGTTTCTGGGTAATGTTTTGAGCACCCAGAGTCATCGAGGCTACGATTCTGCAGCCGAAAGCACTTCCGTCTAAGGAACTCACACTTAGTGCTTCAAGATAGACGGATTGACATTTGTCACACTCGGCATTCACTGAGTTTTTTCTGCTGTCATCTCGCGAAGGGAATGCTAGATTCTACCCTCATAAAGTTTGAAACAACCCGACTAAATAAGCTTGATAAAGGAGAAGTAACCCTCGCGTGGTTAAGATAGCGCCGGTTAAAATACCGCGGACTAGGTGTACGGGATTCGCGCGATGCCACACTTTTTTTTTTTTTGATATCATATACATTACAGGAATGTACAGACATCGGCAGTCGTAACTGGGCGAGTACAGGCACGTGTCGCTCACAGGGCTCGCGCTTCTTCACCAGTCGATCCGTCCGTTAATCACAGTTTGGCTGTTCGAATTTCAAACTAGGAACTTCAAATTCCACATGACTGCGGATTCCCTGGAATCACAAGCCGGGAAAAATGAGGCAAATGCCAGCAGTATGCGAACGCCTTGGATGCGCACAGGGGAACTGTATCTGCGATCACCCTTCCATCTTCCTCCTACCTCAACTCAAACCCTCTCCCATTCTCGTTTGAGTTACCTGATCCACCTTGTTTCAGTTGCATCATCTCCATTCGACTACATTCGAAGCGCTTTATCAATCTGGCTTCTTTTCTCTCTGAGCTTCTAACTCAGTGAATCGTTAACGGGTTTGTTCCTCTTTTGCTGGCTGACGATTTATCTTCTGATCAGACCGGATTTCAGCTGGCCTTACTTCATACCTGATCAGGATTTTACAACCATCATTTCAACAGATTTCAACAACGGACGGTAGCGCTAGACCGCGATAAATCCGAGCGATCAAACATTCGGTCTGCGGCCGCATCCTGTATCCGTGGCGAGCATGAGTCCCAGCACAGCTTCAGATCCCGCTGGCACGCCACAAGGTCCCTGGCAGCGGGACGGCCATGGGCACGTGGATGTGAAGGACGCGGTGCTGAAGGAGGTTGACCTGAGCCACATGACCTCGTGCGCGCCGCGCGTCAAAGACGCGGCGGATTACGAGAGGGAGGAAGACGCGTACTGGGCCGCTGAGTCGCCCATGGCTGCCGCCCTGGCGTCGTCCAACCCTCCAGTGCAGCCGGACTATAAGGAGGCCCTGTACGACCTCGCAAATCACAGCTGGCGCCAACTCGGCGACGTCCACGTCATCAGCGAGGGAGATGACGTTAGAGCAAGCGACGAGAAACCCGTTGTGGCGAGCACGCGTTGTCGTGTTGCAGAAGCTCTTATTCCGGAGCACGGTCACCCGCAGACTCGCCAGTCTTCGCAGCAGCAACCGCGCGGCAGCGTTGGGCTTGCGCCCATCCGAGGAGTCATGGCCGCTGGCGTTGCCAGGCTTGACGGGTACGGTGACCCCGAGCCGTGGGTTTGGGGGGAGGCACGAGCCTGTGCGAGTGAGGCGGCTGCTTTAGAGCGCTCTGCAAGGGTCGGAGGCGCGTCGCGCAACACTGTCCAGTGCGGCGCCACGATCCGTTCTTGCATCCAACACCAGCCGCCGGTCCTGCACGACCGCCGCTCCTCTGGCGACTTCTCGCTCTTCCACTTCCCCGTGCTGCCCCGTGGAAGCGCCCCTGTTCACGAGGCACCGCCAGTCGAGAGCAACGCTTGCCCTCGCACCCACACTGCTTGGACTGGCATCGGGTCGGCGGGCGGCGGGGAGAGCGAGTACCGGCTCTTCTCCAGAGGCTCCAAGGGCGGCAGGCCGGGCATGGCCACGGTTCGCATGGGAAGGGCAGGAGGAGAAGGCTTCGGGGGGCTGTCTGTGCCCGTGATGTGATGCCATGTGTCATGTCATTTGCTGTGATGGGATGGATGGGATCGGATGGAATGCTGGAATGGGACGGAAGGTAAATGGCTGGGTCGTATCGAGCATATGAGTAGTAATGACAGGGGGGTAAGATTGGAAAGAGGAGGAGGCGAGACTCTGCTGGCGGCTCTCAGCTCTCGTTCTGACAACCTTAGTGCCTTCGTCAGCGTATGCTGGCAGTTCAAGAAAGAAGGTGTATTTCTGTCTTCCGCAGCTTCTATCTCTCCCCCTTCTCGTCGGTTTGTGTATGCGCTCCTGTTCCAGAGTCGAACTGACCCGTTTTACTTACCATGCGTGTGATTTGGTGATTTTCGTGCGGCACAAGGAGAAACGGAGGGAGGAGGGGTGGAGGATGAGGACCGAGTTAGTCAAGGATATCACAGAATCGGATGTTTGCTCCGCTTGAGTTGCTGCTGTTGCGGCCCTCAGAAGGTTGCTTCACGAGCAAGTGTGATGTGACCAATTCTGCCCCAGGTCAAGGCGAGGCACAGAGGCCTGGTGGATTGGATGAAAGGCGGAACACCAAATGGCGACTCGGCCCCTGGAGTGTGGCTTCTGTGCAGATGAACTGATCGGAATGTGGACTCACTTTAACGCTGCACTGCTCAGGCACGCGTGAGCCATGGCTCAGAAAGGCTGGAAGGAGAAGTTGGCTCATGTACGGGTTGTTGCCCGGAAGAGATTTTATGTGCCGCTGAGACGAGGGGGGCTGTTTCATGCATGGGGACAGTGTGGGAAGGCATGCTGTGTGGAGCACTAAGTGTACCTAACTGGCAGCAGGCTGGTGCTGGGTCAGGCCAAGGGGTGGATGGTAACGAGGGGCTTTTTTAACCCAGCGTGGTGGTCGACAAGTGAAAAGCAGGTCACCAGTCAAGATGGACTGAAAAGGTTGTGCGGGAGCGGTTGCTACAGGATGAGAGATGGATTACCATAGGTTGGCACGCCGTGGGGTTCTTGTGGTGCTGACATGCAGCAGTGGCAACTGCATGTAGCCATGCTTAGGGTATGCTTCCATAACTGGTAGAATGGTAAGATGAGGTACCTGTTAGTGCCAAGGTGCAGGTGACTGGGATGTTTTCTGTGCATGCATGCATCTCTTTGGTGATTGGATGGTGCTATTGCTGGTTAATGGTGTGAAATTGCTTATGGTGCGTATGAGGCAGAGGACTAGGTAGTAGTAGTATCAACAACTAAATAGATAGGCAATCTGCGAACTTACTGGACGCAGATGTGGCATGGCTAACAGGACAAAGATCTATTGCTGAAGAAGCTGCGTGGCTGGGCATGACCATTGAGCGACGCTGTAACTGACAGTTTGGGCACTGCCACCTCTCACACTTTTGCTGTAGGTGTTAGCATGACATGCTGTTGTGCCTGATGTGATGTGTCTGGTGTTCCAGTGATAACATTACAGTTTGGAGTGTCTGTCATGCTGTTGTCATTACTGATGACACCAATGCCAGCACTTCCTGGTGCAAGAGCCAACCCTACTCGCAGTGGCTTGTTCTGTAGGTCTGGACTGTCACTTTCACCTCATCAAGGCTGTGTGTGCTTCCCCTCTCTCACTCAGCGCTGTGTGCGTGTGCCCTGCGATGTGGCAGAGACTCACTCGCTGTCGATTGGCTGGTAGCAGCCAAGTCCTCCCCGTGCCAGTCATCAGCCAAGTCATCACGGCAAGCACAGCACCTGCAGGAGGACGCTCTGCCCTGCAAGGGCCCAGGCACCTTCCAGGCTGCACGCACACCCACCCCACCCACCTATTCTATATCATGCAGACACATGCAGCACAGCACAGCGCAACACAAAGCATATTTAAGCACACCTAAGCATAGCTACACATGCAGCACAGAACAGCAAAGAAGAGCAGCAGTAGCCAGAGGCCCATCTTCAGCTCTGCCTTGCCTTGTCTTCGCATTGTAGGAAGGAACGCTCATAATGGCCCAACACCATACAGCGCCCTGATTCACGTAAGGGACATGGAGGGTGACGGGGCGAGGGGACATAAGCAATGCTTACTGTAAAATTTGTTATGTGCCATTGCAACTCTTTCAGGTGGTTTCGTTCATAGAAAGGCAGACAGCCAGGGTGGTAAAAAGAGAAGAAAAGGAAGACGACAGACGAGTAAGACATGGATGCCAGGGTGGCAAAAGAAAAGGATAAGGTAGAGGGGAGCCTGGAGAAGATTGCAGGCGATAATAACCAACCAGCCAACACATACAGCGAGCTCGGATGCACTCATACGTAAAGTGTACTCACTCATTGCATTGCTGCTTCTGTTGCTGCTGCTGCTGCTGCTGCTGCAACCAATGGCAGCTGTGATTGTCGTTGCAGCTGACGCTGCCCCCACTGCCACCGCTGCTGCCCAAGTTCTGGACAAAGTTTGGTGCCCGTCACTGCTGCTCACCCCTCCACTGCTGCTGCTGTTCCTGCGGCTCTGGATGAAAGGTGCTTCACTTCTGATGATGAAACAAGGGAGTACAGAGAAGACGAGAGGGCAGGACAGGAGGGGTTTGAGGGCTGAGAAGAAACGCGTGCAAGAGTGGCAAGATTTCAGAGGAGGAAGCAGAACGAACATGCAGTACAAGTGATGCAGAGCATATATTTTGGCAACGGAAAAGGAAAAGAGTTTGGGATGATACTTGGCTGGAAAGTCAAGGAGCCATTGCTACTGCTGCTCCCATGAGTCGGCCAGGAACGAAGCCCGCACGCATGTGAACCCCCGTCCACTCCCTGTCACTAGCCTTGCAGGCAGTGAGGCACACACACGCACGGGGAGAGACGCACACAACAGACACAGACGCGGCACCAGAAGGGGAGGGTTAGAAGCAGCAGGAGGCGCGCGGTGGAGGAGGCAAGGGCACGAGACACGACTGTTGCCTCTGCGTGGCGACGCCCTACGTCACTGCCCCCCCGCAAGCACCCCATGGCACGTACCATTTCTGCTGCTGCTGACAGTGCTCCAGGTTGAGTGCTCCAGGTTAGGTGCCTGAGGGCGCTTGGGTGCTGCGGCTGTTGCTCTTCTCGTTACCCCCTCTGCGTCGCTGCCTGTGACACTCGTGAAACACTTTAGTGCCACACACCATGCCACACCACATGCACCCATGCACATCTGCATCACACGGCCACTCGCTCACAGGCTAGGAAGCACATGATACAGACACGCACAGACACACTCATGGGGAGGGACGCACGAACACACAGAAGCAAAAAATAAGGGGGGGAGGGTTAAAAACAGGAGGCGAGTGGTGGAGGCACGGGCAAGAGACACGACTGTTGCCTCTGCGCGGCGACTCACTTCAATTCCCCCCTGCAAGCACCCCCTGGCACATACCTAGCTCCGCACGCCGCTCTGCCGCTCCTGCTCCACGCCTTCTCCCCACGCAGAACCACCCTGCTGCTACCCGTGCTCCAGGCTGCTCGTCCGCATCAGCTGCTGCTGCTGCTGCTGTTGCTGCTGCTGTTGCTGCTGCTGCGCAATGCTGCGCAATGGTGCTTGGCTGCTGCAGCCGTGCTCCCATCGCGACCCCCTCTGCGCCGCTGCGTTGGTTCCCAGAGAGGGCAAAGAGACATCGAGAGAAAAGGGGTGAGGGAACATGATATTAGATAGGCAGACACCCAAGGAGAACGAGCAACAAGGACAGGGTGAAGGGCGACGGGTAAGACATAAGAGCGCAGGCGGTATTAAACAACCAACACAGAGAGGAAACCTGGAAGGTTTAGAATAAGCTGTACTCACTCACTGGATTGCTGCTGCTGCAACCACTGCAGCTCCCATTATCGTTGCCACCACTGCCACAGCTGCTGCACATGCTGCTGGGTCGAATAAAAGGTGCGCCCCTTCACTGCTGCTCATTCCTCCACTGGTGCTGCTGCCCCCACAGCAGCCCATAGTACTGCCTCTAAAAAAGAGGCGCCTCATTTCTGGCGATGAAAGAAGGGCAGCGGCGAAAGCGCGAGGGCAGGAGAGGAGGGATTGAGAGGTAATCAAAGAGGACACATGGCTGCTGTGGTAAGACAGTAGGCAGTAGGAAGACAGAAGGGCACGGCGGAAAGCATGAAACGAGAGATGCAGAAGTGGCATGCTGATCCACTCACCACTCCTTGTGTGCTTGCTATGATCCTCCCGTTGCCCTCAGTTGCTGCTGCCACTGCCGCCTTGAGCACACACAGGCACCCCACACAAGCACCCCTTAGCTTCCCCCCCCCCCTCCGCTCCACACACACACGCACAGAGGAACCAAGCCCGCATGCACATCCCCCCCCACCCCTGGCACTCCCCACCGTCTCGCCAGGCACACACACGCACAGGGAGAGATGCACGCACACAGACAGAAGCAACAAAACAAGGGAGGGTTAGGAGCAGCAGGAGGCGAGTGGTCGAGGCGGCACGGGCAAGAGACACGACTGTTGCCTCTGCGCGGCGACGCCCTACGACTGACTTGACTGCCCCCCCTGAAAGCACCCCCTGGCACGTACCACTGCTGTTGCTGCTGACAGTGCTCCAGGTTAGGTGCTGCCGGTTGCTGAAACACACTGACGGTGCTCCAGGGTGCGTGGCTGCTGCAGTCGTTGCTCTCCTCGTTACCCACTCTGCGCTGCTGCTCTGACACTCTTGAAACACCCTCACAGTGCACACCATGCCACACCACGTGCACGAAGCCACAGCTGCATCACACGGCCACTAATGCACAGGCCTGGAAGCAGCATATGATACAGACACGCATAGAGACACTCACAGGAAGAGACGCGCACACACAGAAGCAAAAAAAGAAGGGAGGGTTAAAAGCAGCAGGAGGCGAGTGATGGAGGCAAGGGCAAGCGACTGTTGCCTCTGCGCGGCGACTCCTACGACTCAATTCACTGCCCCCCCTGAAAGCACCCCCTGGCACGTACCTCCATGAGCACTCGTTGCTCTCCTCGCCACCCCATCTGCGTCACAAACGCCGCTGCTGTGTGTCGGCCAGGAACGAACGAAGCCCGCACGCATGCCACGGCCCCTCCACTCCCCCTGCCATTGAACTCCGCCTCACAGACAATGAGGCACACACACGCACGGGGAGACGCACAGACACAGGAGCGACGCGCCACACACACAAAAGGGAGGGTTAGAAGCAGCAGGAGGCGAGTGATGGAGGAGGCAAGGGCAAGAGACACGACTGTTGCCTCTGCGCGGCGACTCCTACGACTGACTTCCCTGCCCCCCTGCAAGGACCCCCTACCACGTACCTCGCACCGTCCATTGCACTGCCGCTCTGGCACCACGCTTTGGCCCGAAGAAGCACCACGCTGCTGCTGCCCGTGCTCCAGGCTACTCCGAAACACACCCACGGTCGCTGCTGCTGCTGCTCCAGTTGCTGCAGTCGTTGCTCTCCTCGTTGCCCCCAATGCGTCGCTGCCTGCGCACGCTGCTGAAACGCACTGAAAGATGCACACCATGCCACACCGCATGCACCAATGCACAGCCAGCCGCATCACGCAGCCAGTCATGCACAGGGGTGGATGCCGGGAGGCACACACTTGCACACACACGCATGCATGCCACGCCATCACAGAAACAGAGACAGAAAGTAGTAGCTTGTTAGTTGCGGTAGGAAGAGGGACGGAGACCAGCGAAAGAGGAATCAGACTAAGACTCTGCGCAGGCGGCGCTCTACGACCTACTCGCCCCCTCAGAAGCTCTCCCCGTCGCACTTACAGCAGATCCGTCGCGCTTTGACGGCTGAACAGCAGATCCGTCGCGCTTTGACGGCTGAACAGCAGATCCGTCGCGCCTTGACGGCTGAACAGCAGATCCGTCGCGCCTTGACGGCTGAACAGCAGATCCGTCGCGCTTTGACGGCTGAACAGCAGATCCGTCTCGCAGGCCAAGAGGCACACACACGCACGGGGAGAGACGCACGCAGAAGCAACAGAAGAAGGGAGGGTTCGAAACAGCAGGAGGCGAGTGAAGGAGGAGTCAAGGGCAAGTGACACGACTGTTGCCTCTGCGCGGCGACGCCCTACGACTGACTTGACTGCCCCCCCTGAAAGCCCCCGCTGGCACGTACCACTGCAGTTGCTGCTGACAGTGCTCCAGGTTAGGTGCTCCAAGTTAGGTGCTCCAGGTTAGGTGCTCCAGTGTGCTGAAACACACTGACGGTGCTCCAGGGTGCGTGGCTGTTGCAGTCGTTGCTCTCCTGGGTCTGCGTCGCTGCATCTGACGCTCCTGAATCACACTAGGTCCACATCATGCCACACCGCACGCACAGACGCAGTCATTCATGCCATAACAAAAAAGGACAAGAAAGCAGTAGTTTGTTAGCTGATGTAGGAACGGGGAGGGGGACTAGGACAACGAAATCAGGCTGAGACTCTGCGCAGGCGGCGCGACCTACTCGCCCCCCCAGAAGCTCTCCCCAGCGCGCTTACAAGGTCAAGCCGTGTCTGTAACTTTCGTGTGATGGCGAAAGCAGCAACGTTTCTTGGACTCCGGAGGCGGCAGCGATGTTGAGTTGTGAGACGTCTCAAAGCAGCCAACTCGTTCGACGGCAGGAACAGCAGCCACGTCGCTCTAACGGCGGAAGAAGCACGCACGCGGAAGACGCGACCACGCTGCTTTTATGGCCGACACAGCAGAAACGTTGCTCTGATGGTGGAAACAGCGGCCTCGTTCTCTTGACGGAGTGACGCCGCTTGATGGTTTGTCATCCGCCTCAACTCGAACAGCAGCCGCTTACAGGCCGTGAGACAGACGCTCGCAGACCCACGCGCTCATGTACAAACAAAACCACAGACAAGAGGAGAACAAGACTAGGTTAGTAGCAGCAGGAGAGGAGCAAGGGACCAAGGCAGCAAGCAACTGACTGACGACTCTGCGCTGGCGGCGCTCTACGACCGGCTCTCTTCCCCCTCAGCTTCCCCCATGGCACTCACCAGGTCAAGCCCGGTCCGCTCTCCTCGCGTGCGCGATATCATGCTGCGAGGCGAGTTGACTTTTGAGCCGACTCAAAAGTCTCCTCGTGTGCGCGACAGCGTGCTGCGACGCGGAGCAGCCACCGCCGCGCCACGAGACTCTGCTGACCGTAGAAAAGCCACGTGGTCATGCAGCGTCGTCGCATGGTTGCGGCTATGAGAGCGACGCCTGAAGCGGAGAGCTACGACGGAAGCGGAGAGCGACGGCGGTACTATGTCCTTTTTGGCGACTAGCAGCGGACTGTCCATGTCTGTGTACGTCACGAGGTGACTGTCGGGCCGACTTGATTAGCATCCACGTGTGTGCACAAACTGAGTCGAGAGAGCCGGGTCAGCCACGCTTCTATAAACGACGAAACAACCGCTGGATCTAAGAAATTGACCGCCTCTGACGATACGACGATTACGGCGTCTAACATTACTTCAGTAACATTGACGTCTGTCGCGACATCTGCACTACAACTTATCCTGACATCCTCCAAAGGTCTGTCCAAAAGTAAGTCCGCGTGTTAGTGGTACGATGCATCTTAACATCCGCCTACGCCGCGACATCCGTCTAACTATCTCATCTCAACCTCTGTGTCAAGATCTACGGTTATCCCCGTTTCACACTATGTTCAAGATTAACAAGCCCACTAAAGCACAACTCTATAGGCATCACAAACAAGACAGATTGAAAGCTCAAACTAGGCTGATAGACAATGTAACTTCCCTGGTAACTTGGGCACAATCTAGATTGGATGGACCTTTAGTGACTTTGAGTGCCACATGAGGTGCATGAATAAGAAAACTCTGGATATTTCTGTTATAGCTGATTCTGATGTGTAGAAACTGCCAACACTTCGGTTTGAAGGCAGCTGTGAACTGTATCGAATCTTCGGCTGAAATCTGATTGGTGGTGGAACTTTCGAAGTACTTCCCGAAGCCTCTGATTCATCGCCGACATTCCCCCTTGCTGCTGCTTGTGTGCAAAGGGCTAGGGCGGCAGAAACTCGATTCTCCAACACTCCCCCTCGCACCAGACCCGAAACACACATACACCCATGCTGATGCTCCTTTCACATCTCCTTAGCATACACTTCATGCTGCTGCCCACGTCTCTTCCCCTCACACTCCTCATTCTCCTCAAACTGCTCCACTGCTTCATGAAGTGTCGTGAGGCCTGCTCTTGCCTTGCACATGTTGAATGCATCATGTGGAAGAACCTTGGTCATGAAATCTGCTGCTTGATCGAATGAACGGCAAAAGTTGACGGCGAGAACTCCCTTCTCTAGTTGCTCACGAATGAAGTGGTACTGCACCTCGATGTGTTTTGTACGCCCATGATGAACTGGGTTCTTGGAAAGAGCTATGGCTGAAGTGTTGTCCACGTAGAGCGGAGTTGGTTGAGTTTGCGGCTGCCTCAAGTCCTCCAAGAGTCCACGTAACCAGATTGCCTCCCTTGCTCCTTCGGTCATTGCCATGTACTCAGCTTCGGTTGTTGAAAGTGCCACAAAACTTTGCGTGTGCGATTGCCAAGAAACAGCGGCACCACACATGAGGAAGATGTAGCTGCCGGTAGACTTGCGTGTGCTCAATTCTCCCGCCCAATCTGCATCGGTAAAGCCTTGGAGGGAGCTTGCATATGGGCTGGCTTGGAAGAGAAGACCATGATTAGAAGTACCTTTGAGATACCGAAGAGCTCGCTTGGCTGCATGCATATGAATAGGTGAAGGGGCACTCATGTGTTGAGCTAGCTTAGATACCGTGAATGCTAAGTCGGGCCTTGTGCATAGGGCTGCATACATGAGACACCCAACCTGACTTTGGTAGAGAGCTAGGTCTTGTGGGGATTCCTTACGTGAATTCTCACCATGATGCTCACTCTCCTCAAGACACAACTCGTTATTACCTATGATATCAAGGCTTGACTCTCTCTCTTCATAGGGCTGATGTGAATACAAAGGGACAAAGTTGGAAGGAAGTGGGGTAGGTGATGGCTTGCTATCATCAAGACCAAACCTCTCAAGGACCTTTTGGATGTACCTTTGCTGGAATAGGAAGATGGACCGTGACTTACGATCTCTCACAATGTTCATACCAAGATAATGACTCGGCTCACCAAGATCGGTCATCGTGAATGCACTTGTGAGAATACCTTTCACCTTGTTGAGAAGATCAAGAGAACCTGAGACTAGGAGGAGGTCATCGACATATACCAAGAGCCAAATGTACTCCCCCTCACTCGTGTGCATGAAGTACAGAGCGTTGTCTCTCATGGACCTTGTGAAACCATGCTTGAAAAGTACCTGCTCAAGAGCATGATACCAAACCCGTGGGGACTGTTTGAGACCATAAAGGGACTTTACCAAGCGACACACTCGACCCGTACCGTCATCATAACCTTCGGGTTGTGCCATGTATACCTCTTCTTCCAAGACACCGTAGAGAAATGCGTTCTTGACATCCATTTGATGGATATGGAGACCAAGATATGCGGCTATGGCGAGGAGGACTCGTACCGTGGTGTACTTTGCTACCGCGGCAAAGGTTTCGGTGAAGTCAAGACCTGGAATTTGGGAATAACCTTTTGCCACTAACCTTGCCTTGTACCTATCAAGGCTACCATCACCTTTTACCTTGATCTTGTACACCCATTTGACACCAATTACCTTCTTCCCTGGAGGTGGCTCAACAAGACGCCATGTACCTCGCTTCATGAGACTCTCAATCTCTTCTTCTTCGGCTTTCAACCAATGCTCTCTCTCGGGACTTGCCATTGCCTCACGACGACTAAAAAGGCTCTCGCGGAAGGTGTGATGCTGCCATGCATATTGCCTCTACCTTCTTGTGAATGCAATTCTCACTCTCCTCACATGTACACCTTGATGACATGTCAACCATGAAAGTGAAGGGTTTTTTTACCTTGCGGACTCGTTTACCTTTACCAAACTCCTCACTTGGCTGAGACACATTAGTGGTAGGGTTCGGTCTCACAGTATTTGATTGCGTTGATGCGGTCATTTGCGGCTGAGACAACGGCTGCGACATCAGCTGCGACGACATCAGCTGCGACGGCGGCACGGCTGCTTGTTCTTCTCCTGGCGTGGAAATATCTTGATTATCGGTGTTGACTTGAGGATTATGTATGGTGACTCGTGGCGGTGAAGCTGAAACGTTTGTCGGCATAGTTGGTTGTGAAGATGCTCTTGGTGGGGATCTTGAGACTAGAAGCTTGGGAATTGATGATGACGCTGCCTTGTCGAGAGGTGGTGATGGTTGGGGCTGGTTGGTGTTGTTGCTCGGTGTTGAAGATGGTGGTAACTGATGACGACCGAATCCGGGACGTGGGGGTGAAGTTGAGAAAGGTCTTGGGTGAAGAAGTGGACTGTTGGAGCTGGTGTTGGTGGTGACTCGCTGAAGTGATCCTCGTGCTATGAGCTGGAACAAGTGATGAACGTGTGGTATGAGAATGAGGTGTTGTGGTGACGGTTGACTTTTTGCTAGGAAGAGTCGTAGATGGTGTTGATGTAGGTACTTGGGGTCTTGTAGCTGTTGATTGCTGCTGCATGGGATGATGATGAGCTTCTGTAGTTGCCTCTGGATTGATGGTTAGTGATGGGTTTGATGGCGTAGTGGTGGGCTGATCCGGTTGGCATTGAAATTGTGAGGTTGGTGTTGATATAGCTGGCTGGTTTGTGACTGTTGGCTGCTGCTCCTTTGGTGGTGATGGAACGGTGACTTGCTGCGGTGGATTGTCTTCATTTGATAGCTGAACTTCATCTCCACTTGGTTGAGTAGCTGCTGGTGGCACTGGCGCGGCACGGCTGGACTCGTTGATGACGACTTGAGGGAGATCGATGATCGGTCCGCTATGGTCAGAATCGGTGTCATCTTCTTCCTCCTCTTGTGTTGTTTCCTCAGGTGCGCTTGCTGGTTCCTGTTGGATAGAGGGTAGAGAGGAGGAAGAGGAAAACTTATGCCAACCTGCAAGGGACATGTCTCCATAGAAGACAACATCCCTTGAAACCACTTCTCGCTTGGTGACAGGATCCCAAAGGACCCATCCCTTGCTCTCATTGCTCATGCCGATGAAGAGGCCCCAATGAGCTTTGCTGTCCAGCTTGAGTCTCTTTGCATCCGGAACACGGTATTGGGCCATGGAACCAAAAACCCGAAGCATAGACAGATCTGGTTTAACTCCAAACCAAGCCTCATATGGCGTTACACCATCCGGTAAGGGCCTTGTGGGTCTCCTGTTGCGAACATAAATTGCCATAGTGATTGCCTCACCCCACCAGAGCTTGTCAAGGCCTTTGAACTGAAGGAAAGTGGTAGCTATAGCCTGGATAGTGCGATGAAACCTCTCTGCCACTCCATTTTGCTGAGGACTATAGGGACAAGTGAACTGTTGTTTGATGCCCAATGCCAACAACTCCCCCTGAAACGCTTTCCCCATGTACTCACCTCCTCAGTCCGACCTCAAGGTGAGTAACTTCTTCCCTGATTCTCTCTCAACAAGTGCTAGCCATTGCTTGAAACACTTGTGCACTTCATCCTTGGTGTTGATGAAAAAGGACCACGAGAAACGACTCTTGTCATCAATGAAAGACACCAAATATTTCTTACCGTTTCGAGTAGGGTCTCGCATGTGGCCGAATACATCAGTGTGGACCAGCTCTAGGAGGTCCCTTGACTGAGACTTAGAAGGAAAAAATGGCTTTCTTGCTAACTTACCTTCGACACAAGATGGGCATGGGACGGTAGAAAGAGACTTGACTGCACTTTCACTCAAATTAAGTCCTTCCACGCTCTTGTGACTTACTAACTCTTTGAATGCTTGCATCCCCAAGTGCCCCAAGCGTGCATGCCATACCTCAGCTTGGGAGATACTCCCTTTGTTGTTAACTTGATCGGTTGAAACAGCGGGAAGCGAAACAACGTCGTTCTCCGCGTTGCTAGAACTGCGCTTAATCTCCAACTTCATCTTGTAGAGACGCCCGGTACGCTCGCCTTCAGCCACCAAATTTCCTGCACTATCCCACACTTTGGCTTTCCCCCCTTGCAAGAGAACAGAGGCACCTTTCTCTTCGAGTTGTCCGGCTGAGAGCAAGTTTGCTCCCAAATCAGGAACAAACAAAGCTTTATTGACACAAAATGACTTACCATCCTTTTCGAACTCAAGCTTGCCGACTCCTTTGATTGGTACTTTGCCAAGATCAGCAAGAGGCACAGCTTTTGAGTCATATGAGGGCTGAAAATCCTTGAGAATGGACTGATAGGGAGTCATGGTTTCAGAGCAGCCACTATCAAGAATAAACTCCTCACTACTAGTAGAGAAGACGTGCATGCAAGTAGCAGCGTTAAAAAGGACAGGACCATCGGACTCTTTGGACTCATCTTGACTTGTAGAATGACTTGCTATATTTGCTATGGCTGCCTTACCTTTTTCAGATAGTAGCTGAGGTGGGGGGACCCAATTAGGAGGCTTCTTAGGACAAGCATACCACGGGTGACCCCACTCATGACAACAAAAACACTCAAAATTAAACCTTTTAGCATTCGAGGCTTGGCTGAAGTTCTTGACTCTTGGCGTATTGACTCTTGCATTCCTAGGGTGGTATTGATTGGGAATCGAATGCCTTGGCTGGACATAGGGACTGGACTTATAGGGAGGACTTGACTGAGGAAAACGAGAGGGTTTGTATGGGTTGGAAGGTGACTGAAATTTCGTACCGTAGTAGGGTTGAGGGCGGTTTGGGCTGAAATTTCCTTGCCTCTGGAATTGGTTGCCATATCGTGTGGCTGCTGCAGCACTCCACGTACTTTCGTCACTCCGCTTGTTACGTGCAAGGTCTCGACTCTGCTGCTCGTTGACAAGGGCCTCAAAGATGAACGCACGACTCTTCATTGACCGCGGGAGCGCTTGTAGTGTTGCACGGAAAGTGTCCCACTCCGGTGTAAGGCCGTCGAGGATGACGCTCTTGAAAAGAGACTCTGGAATCTCCAAGCCGATCGCTGCTGCTTCCTCCAACATTGCTTCAGCTCGTTGTAAGTAGGCTTGTGCTGATTCATCTTCTTCCATCTTCAGATTCATGAAGCGGCTCCACATCTCGGCTTGGCTGCTCTCGGATTTTGACTGGTGCATAGTCTTCAGTCGGCTCCATGCTTCCTCTGCACTATTTGCCTTGGTAGAACAGGGCAGGATCGACTTCAACCGCTGCTCGTGAATGCTATTGAGTAGGTAGAGGAAGGCCTCCTTGTTGCGTCGTTCGTAAAGTCGTTTTTCAGCTTCTGAAGCATCTGCTGCTGGTTTGGCTGCTTCTCCAGTGTAGTAAGGCCACAGATCCAGAAGGGATGCAGTGAGCTCAAACTGAGTTGCCCATGTTGGAAAATCTTTGCCGTTGAACTTAGGGAGGTGAAGCTTAGGCATGAAGGAGGTGAGTGGTGAGTATGTTGTTGAAGGACTGCCTGGTGCAACTGCTTCCACCAATCCAGTAGCTGCTAATGTTGACTCTCAAGCTCCTCCGGCTAGCTGGAGTGCAGGACCGGATGGATTGTCTCCCGCCATGTTCGTATGGTGCTAGGATAGGAACGTGGTGGGCTAGGTTGATCGAAACGAGGAGCTCTGATACCAACTTGTAAAACAGAGTAGCTGTGACTACTGGAGGGCTGGAAACTTGGCTAGAAAGTCTTAGCAGGGGTGCTGGAATTGACTGGATGAGGTAAAACTTCACTATGTTCAAGATTAACAAGCCCACTAAAGCACAACTCTATAGGCATCACAAACAAGACAGATTGAAAGCTCAAACTAGGCTGATAGACAATGTAACTTCCCTGGTAACTTGGGCACAATCTAGATTGGATGGACCTTGTGTGACTTTGAGTGCCACATGAGGTGGATGAATAAGAAAACTCTGGATATATCTATTATAGCTGATTCTGATGTGTAGAAACCTGTAGAAACTGCCAACACTTCGGTTTGAAGGCAGCTTTGAGCTGTATCGAGTCTTCGGCTGAAATCTGATTGGTGGTGGAACTTTCGAAGTACTTCCCGAAGCCTCTGATTCATCGCCGACATCCCCCCTTGCTGGTGCTTGTGTGCAAAGGGCTGGGGCGGCAGAAACTCGATTCTCCAACATGAACCACAGCGGCCACAGGGGCAGTTGCTAAGGGCGTGTAAAATCCTCGCACAAGTCTGAAAATGGGGTTTGGCCGTTTTTTTTACGACCATATGGTCGTCATATTGTTATGAGTGTAAAAGAGAGTGCGCGGAATAACGGATAACGAAGATGTGACTCAATGAACTGACAATACAATGAAGGCACGCGCTAATATAGTGGGCCAACCTAGCTAGGCGGGAACCTCGGGAACACGAGGTTGGGTGCAGGTTGGGCAAAGGAAAGGCCGAAGGCGACGCGAGGTTGCTTCGGCAGCAAGCGAAGTGGCCGAACGTGCACTTCCGAAAGTTGGGGTTGTACGCGGTTGAGTAAACCCTTGTAAGGAAAAGGGTTTTTCCTTACACATATCTTTCGCGAACTTCGACTTGGTGGCCGAATTAGAGTCGACTACGATACAGCCACCATTTACAAATTTGCTAATTGTACAACTTTGCAGGCCGATTTGCTGGCTGGTTCCGGAAAGTTGTAAAATTTGCAATGTTCAAAGTGGGCGTCAAATTTGCACACATAATTCCGACATCGTCATCATCGCATGGAGGGTCTGCGACACCGCCAGTCAATGTCGCAACGTCGGGCCGGGTTCGTGGCCGTTTTGGAGTCGACTCGGCGTCGTTTTTGTGTTGACTTCTTAAACGGCCATCAAATTCGTTATTTTTATGCAAAATTCGCGATATCGCAACACGAATCACGAATGTCGCTAACTAGTTACCTTCGCAGAAACGACCAGACAAATTCTGGCCAAATTTTTGAAGGTCCCGATTTTACATGCCCTAAGGCGGATGAAGAGCTCCCCTCGCCAGATTCCAGAGCGCGCCGAAATTCCGGGTCCACTTCCAACCTTTCACCGCCAGACACCGAATACGGCCAAGAATCACCTCCTCCTGCCCTGCCAACGCATATGCCTTCTTTTGTCGCAACGAACCGCCGCACCTGTCCGACTTAGTCTGCGTGTACACTTTCACATGCAGCCGGAAAGCTGCCTCAATTCGCCTGAGAACGCGCCGAGCCCTGAACTTTCTCCCCCGAAACACGCACTCGCATCTCTCCGCCCAGGTCTGGTGCACCGCAATGGCGGAGAAAGATGCCTCCGGGAAAGCTGAGGTGGACGCTGCCTTCCCGAACAGCAGGTCACCCAAGTTCACCACTTGCCTGGATGGATTCAACATGCGCATGGCGCGCTTTACAGCCGACACCCCGAGCTGAATGCGCGGGCAGGTGAAGAGGCAGTGCTCCAGGGTTTCAAGCTCCCCACAGTGCGGGCAGAATGGCTTGCCGCTTAGGAAAGAGAGTCTCTCCCCCACCTGCAAGTTGAGACTGTAGATTCTCAGCAGCACGTCCGGTGGCCTGTTGGGCGTCACCAGAGAATCACGGATCTTGATCACCTTCTTCCAGTCGATTTCCCCTGCCCATCTGTCTGCCCAAAGGTCCCTTTTGGCAGACTGATGCTTGTCACGATCCCAGCTCCCCTTCAACTCCCTCAACAACGCCAGCTGCCCGTTGCTGAACAGCGGGGTCCTCAGAGGGAGTGAGCGTGGTGGTGGCGGGGGGGGGGGGGGGGGCTGCAGAAGCTCGGCAGACAGAAGCAACCGTTTCCAGCTCTGCGGCACAACTTCCCAGGCCCGAATTGCCAATTTCGCCTGCTTCGAGCCGCCTAGCTCCCTCGTCAAAGTCTTTACGTCCTTTACCCTTCGCTCTCCCGCGCCGTGCGGTGCCAGCATGTCCCTCAAACGAACGTCCCACAGCTTCCCCGCAGCTTTCTGCTCGCCCACCGGCGTCTTGCCGTTCAGCAGGATGTGGCGGTTGAAAACAAGCCGCTCCAACTCCGCTTCTTCCCTCGTCCGTTCCGGCGGTGTTTCCGCAAGCGATGACTGCATGAAATCGCCGCAGGCCAGCTTCCACCTCTCACTTTTCCCGCGCCAGCACTTCAGGAGCTTCACGTGGGCCACAAAGGTGTCCGCCCCAGCGGCAGATCCGCTGCTTGCAGCATTATTTCCTTTTTCAGCTCGTTGGTCTCGGTGAGAAGCAGTCCGACCCTCCTTGCGGTGAGACAGGTGAGCGCAATACCCGGGTCTCTCACCCCCACGCCCCTGTCCTCTCTCGCCATGTACAGCAGCTCACGACTCCACAGAATAAACCCCTTGTCTGTCGTGGCCCGATTTCCCGACATAAAATTATGCGTCAGCTTCAGAATCCTCCCCCAGATGTCCGTTGGTGGCGGGTACACTTGCGTCTGGAAGAAAATAATCGGGGAGATGTGGCAGTTGATAAACGCTGCCCTTGCCCCTGTTGTGAGATGTTGCGCCTCCCATTACCTCAGTTTTTCTTTTATCCGTGCGAAAGCTTTTTCCCAGGTGGGAGCGCAACACCCGTCCGGCGTTACCCACACCCCTAGCAGCCGCTCTGCTTCGCCCGACTTCACCCATTTGAATCCGTCGGTTCTGCAGGGCTGCTTGTCCAGGTTCTTCCCCAGCGGTAAGATTGATGACTTCCCTTTATTTGTAGCTAGGCCAGAGTCAGCTTCAAACGCCTCTAACAGCTTCTCCACCTCCGCAATCTGCTCCTCCCCTTGCAGGAGCAGAGTCGTGTTGTCCGCGTACCCCATATACGCCAGCCGCTGATCCCCCCCGGTGAGACCCAGCTTCCGGTTCGCAGCTTCTTGCGCCAACGGCTCGACCGCGCAGAGAAAAAGGTACGGCGCCAGCGGGCAGCCCTGGCGCACCCCCGATACCACATCCACCGCATCGCCCAACCAGCCGTTTTTTAACAGACTTGTTCGTGTGTCCTCATGCAGGCCGCGCACCCAGCTTATGAATCTGTTGGGGAAAACCCCTCGAGACCGAGTCAAAGGCCTTCCTGAAGTCCACCAGTAGAAGGTACCAGTCCTTGACCTCGTTTTTAGTTGCCTCAATGACATTCGCAACCAGACCCACAGCGTCTGACAGCCTTCGCCCCGGTAAGAAGCCGTATTGCTCTGGGGAAATCACTTCATGCAGCACCTTTTTCATTCTGTCCGCAACCACCCGCGCCAGAACCTTGTAGGTAAAGCTTAGCAGTGCAATCGGCTGATAGTTTTCTAACTGATTGTGCCCCCCCTTCTTGTGCAACAGGATGGTGACAGCATCCTTGGTGCTGGTTGGGAGCGAAGCCAACGTGGCGAAACCCTTCACCAGCTGCATGAAGTGCTTGCCCAGAACGTCCCAGTGAGCTTCGAAAAGCTCTTTCGGCAACCCATCCTTCCCCGGGGCCTTGCCCTTCGCCATCGAGCGGAAAGCACGCTTCACCTCCTTCTCCGTCCAATCGGCAGACACAGCTTCTATTGATGCTTGCGACAGCTTCCTACCCTCGGCTGGAAACCAAGCGGACTCCGTTCGCCGCCTGTCCTCCCCAAAAAGATCCCTGTAGTACTGCGCCGCTGCGCTCAGAATTTCTTTGTTGTCCACAACCAGCTTCCCCCCGACGTCTAACTCCGAGATCTGTGTGCGCTCCTTCCGTGCCTTAATCTTTGCAGACAGGAAAGGAGACGCGACCTCACCGGCCACTTCCTCCTTCATTCCCGCCATCACGTGCAACCTCTCCTGCCGCACCAACTGGTATCCTTTAAGTTGTGACTCCCTTTCGGCCAACAGCTCTTTCAAGCGGGCGCAACCCGGGTCACCCAACCACGCCTGTTTCAGAGCCGCGACCTCATGCTGAAGGTGATTCATAGTAGCCCTGATCCTTTTCCTTTCCTCTCTCGCGTACGCTCTGAGACCAGCGTTGAGTCGCGATACTGACAGCTCGAAATCGTCACCACAGGCAGCCGCCCGCCGTTCCACCGCCTTAATAACCTTCCTGACCCCTGGTCTCTCCACCATGTATGCAGGAAGCCGCCAGAGACCAAGGCTCGACTGAACCCGCGTGATCGCCCTGAACGCCGCCTTCACCGCAAAGGAGTGGTCAGAAATGGGATCCACCGGCATGATGTGCGAGGCGAACTCCACATGTGGCAACAGCGATTGTGAGATGAGCGCCCGGTCGATGCGAGAGCTTGACTGGTTGGCACAGGAGTAGAAAGTAAACTCCCTTTTATAGGGGTGCAGAACCCAAAACGCGTCCGACAAACCGAAGACCCCGCACCGCCGGTAAAGCTCTTAATTTTCCTTCGTCGTACCCTTTTTTTATGTTCTGTCAAGCAGAGGGTCTTCCACCAGATTGAAATCCCCTAGCATTAGCAGGTGACTACTGGGCTGTAGCGAGTCGACCACCGGACCCAGCACCCTACGAATGAAGTTCTTGCGCTCCACAGCATCCGCTGGGAAGTATACTGCAACCGCGGTGATGAGAAAGGTGTCACAGCGGATGTCGGCGACAATCAGTCTCCCTGACGGGTGAATAAGTGTGTTATACAGCGACAGCCCGTGTCTTCGCCAGACCAAGGCAACCCCACCAGCCTTGGCAGTAGGCAAGGCCACCAGGATCTGCGGCTGTCTCAAAGATTCCCAGTATGGATGATCGTTAGCAAGTCTGGCGTCTGAAAGTACTACAATATCTGCTGCGTGTTTTAACCAGTTCCTTGTGCCCTGTTGCTTGTTCCCATCCCCCAGGCCGTTGACATTCAGGCCTGCAAATGAAAGAAGGCTTTTTGTACTCATGCAACCACTGCTGAAAGGCCCCTTCGCATCCACGGGCAGGTGATACCGGATACAACTACACAAACGACAGAAACCGCCATCTCTACACGACACTGCTTCCGGCAAACAGGTAAAGTCCTCAGATCTGGTACTCCTTGCGGATAACGTGCAGACCGAGCCTCTCCAAGAAGCTGCGGATGGCTGCACCCAACTTCTCCAGGCCCACGAGATGGCTTGCCGATGTGACGTGATCTGCCACTGCCATGAACCTTCCCGCAGCACTCGAAGGTACACAGCCATTCCTCCCGGTTGCTCCCCGTGGAGATCAGCACAAAAGCCGCATCCAGCAGCAGCGGGGTGGTGAGCGGGGAAGCGCGAAGAGAGGCAGTTGCGAGGGACATGCGGCGTGTCAGCAACTTGCAAGGTAAGAGAGATCAAATGACAACCCAAAAAACGAAAGCAGCAGTTACCGTTAATCCTATGGACCCGACCCACTGTTAAACTCCACTTCCTTATGTTACTCTGACGCTCCGTGATGTAAGCATTATGAAACTTGTCGTAATGATGACCACCACAGAGCGGACAGGTAAGCAGCGGGTAATGGGCCAACAGGGTCGTTCCACCCAGCAGCTGATGGCGAAACTCATGGCGCCAGCGGTGCCTGTCGCCGGCGTGCTGAACCACCAGCCCCTTAATCTTGTGAGTGTCAGCACCAGTGACCGGGTGAAGGACGCGATGGAAGCAGTGACCCTCAGCGAACGCAGACTGCTTCAGAATCCTGAGCGGGTGCAGCACCATGACTTCCTTAACCAGCTCCGGCGGGATGTCAGCAGGGACATTCTTGAAATAAACTTCCAGCAGCTGTGGGCTCGAGGCCTTCTTGCGAAGGTAGGCCGCGTCTTCCTGATGCAGCCAGAAACAATGAAGTGTAGTGTCATTTGAACGCTTGTGTTCCACTGCCGCCTGCTTGATCTTAACCGCGTCTGACTCATGCAGGAAAGAAACCTGGAGCCGGCTGTAGCGTGTCTTGGCAACAAAAGCGGGGAGCAGCTCTTGAAACTTCACCGTATCAAGAACGTCATCCGTAAGCAGGTTAGCCCAGACACGCTTCATCAGCATCCTCACGGTCAGGATCACCGAAGCAACCTCACGAGAAGGGATGACCGGGAAAAGCAAAATCGCCGTGAAGCGCAAATGTAGGTAAAAGCTCTTAGCCGTGTCAATCTTGAGCTCCTCGTCGGAGTCATCTTCAATTAAAGAGTCATCCGAAGAAACTGTCGCCACCGCCTTAAGCATTTCTTCAATGGTAAGACCAGAACTACCAGCCGTCACTTCCACTTCAAACGGAAGGTTATCAATGACTTCTTTGCCCTTGCCTGGTGACGTTTTGCTCGCAGGGCCGCCACCGCCACCCGGAGCATCAGCCACATGCTTAGCGCGCGTCGATTTCGGAGGCATCGTGCGATGATGACAATGACCCGGAAGAGGCTTCTGCAAGAGCTCTTGTAATGAGAGCTGAGGAAACTGTTTGAACTGATGAGCCAGTCGTCTGAGCACAGCGTTGTTAAATAACTGATAACCTCCTGTGGTAGTCCATTGTTCCTGGCAGAGGTGTTGCGATGTTGAAGATAACACTTCGGGATCATCCCGTTGCACAGCATCTGTGTAGCCAATGGTAGATAGCTTAGGTTGTTCCTTGACAATGAACCAGAACCTAGAGAGCCACGCGTTAGCATCGGGCTTAGAAACTTGAACCAGCGAAAGACACCCTTGAGAAGACCGTTCAATGTTCGCCTGATGAACACGTAAATAGTATAGTCTTCTTCGTAAAGGTGTAGCGAAACCAAAGCTGGTAAAATTAGAGCCAACTGATGAACATGCTGTTGAGATAGAGGCGAGGAATGGGTGCACTATGAAATGAAACAAGTACAAGTACCAACCCTAATTGGGTTGTACCCCCTATGGGCTACCCCACTACAGCCTAAATATATGCATCAGTAATATAATCATCTGACACACCCCCATAGGCAAAGTGGGGGAGAGCAAGGGGTCACAAGACCAGTCAAGCAAAACAAAGCAAAGCAAAGCAAGCTCAGGGTGGATCTCAAGGATACCACACAAATTCCGAGCACAAGGTCAAGGCCATAAGGCCAGTTCACATGCAGCAGAGCATATATATATAACAGTGCTAAACAAGCAAGAGCAAGGATATATATATGCAGCAGTACAAGCAAGGTCAAGAGGTAAGCAAGTGAGGCCATGTGGGCACAAGGCCTAGCAGAGTGCAAAAGCGCTGATGGTCACGAGGCGTAAGTGCCTTGGTGAACACATCAGCAGTGTTGGCCTCAGTGGCCACGAAACGCAGGCGAAGCTGACCACGCTGCTGCAGCTCTCGAGCAAGGAAGTAGCGCAGAGCAATGTGCTTCATCCTGTGCTCCAGTCTGTGCTCCTCACACAAGGCAATGGTTGCCTTGTTGTCGACGTACAGCACTGGAGGAGAACGAGGCGACTCTCCAAGGTCAGTCAGCAGGTAGGTGAGCCAGCGAAGCTCCTGGGCAGCCATGGCCGTGGCGTAGATCTCAGCCTCACAGCTGGAGCTGAGAACCGAAGAAGAGCGAGTAGAGCGCCAAGAGACAGAGCCAGAGCCAAGACTGAAGGTGTAACCCTGAGACGACCTCTGAGTAGCCTGGTCGTCAGCCCAAGAAGCGTCTGAGTGCCCAGTGAGCACAGGCCGCTCACGCCCTCCAAGCACTAGCCCCATGCCCGACGTACTGCACAAGTAGCGCAACACCCTCTTAGCTGCATCCATGTGCTCCTTCCGGTGACGGCCGGGAGCAACATAGCGTGCTAAGATGCTGAGAGGGTATGCGAGGTCAGGTCGAGTGCAAGTCATCAGGTACATGAGGCAGCCCACAAGCTCTGGATACGGACCACTCGACTCTACGGACTCATCCGAAGGCAGAGCTGAGAGCGAGTGTCCCGTAGGCAGAGGAGTGGACTGAGGCGAGGAGTACGTGAAGCCGAAGCGCTGAAGGACCTGCTGCACCATGTGTGACTGAGTCAGGGTAATGGTGCGGCGTGCTCTGTCCCGGGTGATCCGCAAGCCAAGATAGCTTGTCAGTTCACCCAGGTCTGTGCACGTGTGTCTCTTCTGCAGCTCCGACTTCACGTGGGCGAGTGCGGCAGTGTCCGCAGTGGCAAAGACCAATTCGTCGACGTACACGAGGATGTAGAACGGCGGCAGCGAGGTGTCGGTGCGCAGAAACAGCGACGGGTCAGCAGTAGAAGGAGCAAACCCAAGAGCCGCAAGTGTAGTCCTCAGTGTGTCGTGCCACTCACGCGGCGCCTGGCGGAGACCGTAGACTGGCCGCCAGAGGCTCCACTGGGTACCAGGAGGGAACGACCCAGTGAAGCCAGGAGGGCGGCGCAGCAAGATCTCCTCGTGCAGGCGGCCCTGCAGGAAAGCAGTGCTGAAGTCAAGAGAGTGTAGCTCGTAGTCACGCTGAGCAGCGACGTGCAGTAGAACCCGAAGAGTGGTCATCTTCGGGGTCGGGGAGAAGGTCTGAAAGAAGTCAACTCCCTGTCGCTGACTGAAGCCACGAGCCACGTAGCGCGCCTTGAAGACAGGCGGAGAACCCGGCGGCCGCTTCACCCTGAAGATCCACATGCCACTGACAATGTTCGCCCCAGGAGGGGGAACAGCATCAACGTAGGTGCCTGTGGACTTCCAGGAAGCCATCTCTGCGTCCATGGCTGACTGCCACTGAGAGGAGTAGGGACCGGCCATCGCCTCTGCGTAAGAGCGTGGGGTCGGGATGTCTAGAGCATCCGGGTCTCCCTCAGGGGCAACAAGCATGGACACGAGATGGGGCAAAGCGGCGGCAAAGCACTGGAACTCCTCCTGCCTGTCCTCAAGGACGTCCGTGCTAAGAGCACAGTCACCCCTGACGGACGGAGGACAGGCAGACGCAGACGCAGCAGACGCAGACTCAGCAGACTCAGCAGAATCAGCAACAAGACTGGCAGCGTAGTCCAGACGACACGCAGCAGCAAAGTCGACCAGCTCAGCAACTAGGGCAGACGCAGCAGCGGACTCAAAGGAAGGGTCAGTGACAAGAGTAGCAAGAAGACGCGTGACAGTAGGACTGGCAGCACGGTGAGAGTCCGACTCCGGGTCGGCAAGTGTAGGAAGAGAAGACTGAGGAGGAGAAGGCAAAGGGGCACACAGAGGAGCAGTGGACGGACGCAGAGACATCTGGTGCGTGCCAGGGACAGGAGGAGGACGCTGACGCGAACCGCGACCACTAGGGCGAGAAGCTCGGACTGGCGACGCAGGGCGGGACGCAGGCTCACGACGCTCAGCAAGACCTCCAGTAGGACCAGCGTAGGGAGAAGGAGAAGGCAGGGGAGAGGCGGGCTATAACTGTGACCGTGACGGGACAGGCTGCGGACACTCTACGGGAGGAGAAGGACCTGTGGAAGGCGGGAGACCAAGAACGTGCTGAAGGAGCGGAACAAAGTACGGCCGAGGCCGCGCAGCACCGCCAGAGACAGCAGGGACCTCCAGAGGCAGCACCAGCACCAGTAGCAGCTCCAACTCCAGCACCACCAGCAGCTGCAGAAGTACCCGTAGTAGGACCGACAGTCGTAGCCTCAGCGCCAGCACCCGCAGCAGCTCCAGCTCCAGAGGCACCCCCGGGCCCGGCAGCTCCAGTACCCTCAGTACGAGCACCTCCGGGACCCGTGGTACCAGCTCCCTCGGCAGCAACGGAACCTCCAGCACCCGCAGTACCCCCAGCTCCAGCAGCTCGCCTCCAGCGCCGGGCAAACCACTCACGCAGCTCCAGAGGAGAGAGCGGCTCGCGGCGCGAAGAACGGTCTGGAGAACCACCAGGAACAGAAGCAGCAGGCGCAGCACTCCCAGACGCAGAACCCCCAGGCTCAGCACCCCCAGGCATAGCACCCCTAGGCTCAGCACCCCCAGGCTCAGTACCCCCAGGCTCAGCGCCCCCAGTCTCAGCACCCCCAGGCTCAGTACCCCCAGGCTCAGCACCCCCAGGCTCAGCACCCCCAGTCTCAGCGCCCCAAGGCTCAGCACCCCCAGTCTCAGCACCCCCAGTCTCAGCACCCCGAGGCTCCGCACCCGCAGCAGCACCAGAGTCACCAGTGACCTCGACAGGCTCGACCGCGTCTACCTGAGACACACCTGAAGGGGCAGGACCCTGAGGGGGGAGGGGGTCTACCGGGGGGGGACCTGGGACCAGGAAGAGGGGCGGGGGGGGGGAGGGACGGAGTGCGGTAGGGGAAGAGCCGGTAGAAGGGAATCGACTCGTCGAACGTGACGTCCTAGGAGGACAGAACACGACGAGAGGTGGGGTGGTAGAACTGCCACCCAGGTGCGTCAGGGGGGAAACCCAGGAAGACGCAAGGAGCAGCACGAGGGGACAGCTTGTCCGCAGACAAGTCGCGGACAAACGCCCGAGATCCCCAGACACGGAACGCCGACGCATCGCCAACCTTCCCCGTCCACAGCAAAGCTGGGGAGGTCTCCGGTGTGGAGACCCTGGGCTGAAGGTTGATCTGATGTGCGGCGTACCGAACCGCAAACGGCCACAGAAAATGGGGGGCAGCCGCATGCACCATGGACGTACGGGCGACGTCCATGACAATGCCGATGCGGCGCTCAGCAATCCCATTCTGCTGTGGAGAGTCCGGAAGCGTGAAGGTCTGGCGGATGCCTCGTGCCCGACAGTAGGCTCGCAGAAGGCCGGAGGAGAACTCTCCGCCTCTGTCCGGGTGCAGACGCAAAACAGGAAAGTCCGAGCCGAAGCTCCGCCTGAGCTGGAGACGAGCCCCGCGGATCCAGTCGATCAACACCTTAGTGACCTCACCCTTGCTGCGCAAGGGGAAGACTGTGGTGTAACGCGAGTAGTCGTCAACCACCAGCAGGAAGTAGCGCTCGTGACCCTGTCCACGGACGCGTGCTGGGCCCCACACGTCCATGTGAAGCGTCTGCATCGGGGCCTCCGTCGGAGGAAACGGGGAGGAGTGAGGGGTAGCCCGCAGGCGACCCTCGACACAGGGGACACAAGGAAGGCCAGGCCCCGGAGGAAGGGGAGGGAGGGACCGGGGAAGGCCAGAGACAAGAAGGCGAGAGGCCATGCCCCGGAGACGAGGCAGGGAGGGGTGACCCATCCTGTGGTGCCACAGGAGGGTCTCGTGGGACAGGAGGCGACACGAGCAGGGGGCAGACTCAGGACCAGACCTGGACGCTGCAGCAAACACCTGACCCGACGCAGCTACCTGACAAGACGCAGGAGGAGGAGACGGAACAGTGAGTGTGTACAGGCTCGACCCCGGCCCACGTGTGAACGTGGTCAAGTGTCGACCCGTGTCCGCGTCCGTGCAGTGGGTGCCCCGTCGGCGTGCAGGGGTGAACTGGTCGACCCCTGCATCCT